AATGGCTACATTCCTAGGTGAGAATGGCAGTATAAAAAAGGGCCGACATGGTCAGGTGAGTTTCGCTCCTGGCTTCAGCTTCAGAGATAATTTAGTGTGTGAAAGTGATATCTGTATCTAAAATGCATTTTTTTGTAATGGTGCATTTTAGCAGTAAGTGAACGCCGTGGTCGTATGATAGTGTGTTTTGGTGATAGCGTGTTTGTTCTTATCTCTTTGTCGGGGTCGGAACTGATTGGGCGCAATTTCCTGTACTAGACTTGTCCAACTGTGACAAGAGAATGGTCTGAGGCTGGATTAACGAGTATTATTTATTAATGAATTGCAAAGATGGCGATAACTGATAGAGAAGCTATGCAATCTTTGGTTAAACCAAACCGACAAAGCGTGGCGATCTGAACCGTATTCATGCAAGTGTTTCGTACTGCCAATAGGAACTGTTTGCTAGACTAAGATCTTGAGTATGTTTCAAAATTACACTGCAACAATGTTTTAAAAATAACGGTCCGTTTGTGATGCTGGACTCTAATAAAATAGAACATGGTGCTAGAGCAAACAAAAATGACTTTTGCATCGATTTATTCTATAAGATGAAGAAAAGTAAATTTAAGATACCCGAATCGACAAAAAAGGGGAATCTTTTTAAGGAGCAGAATTTTCTCTGAGATATCAATTCGCATATTCTCATGAATGCTGAAGAGGAGAAATGAGAAATTTATCAAGTCGGGATTAAGATAACCGTGTAATTGTTCATCCCATCAGGTGCAAGTGAAAAGCTCAGTGAAAGCGGGCCTCAAATGGTCAAGTTAGATCACGTTTCCGTCATTTCAAAAAATCCTACGACAAAACAGGAAACCGTCTCAGAGGTTCGTTGTGGGCTATTTATCAAGCAACTGACATCATTTACGAAGGATCAATTATGAGCCATATCGAGCGATCTTTTTGTCTGGGTGGCCACCTGACAGACCTTTATGTGGTTTACTTAGCGATGGCCTGCCCCTCTCACGGTAGTCTGATGACTTAATTCATGTGGTTATCAAATCTACAGGTGCCATGAAATTTGGTATTATTACCTTGTTTCATCTTCCATTCTGTTGTGTTCAGTTCGGCCTAAGACTCCAAGAGCAATACATGTACAACATACAGTGATACCATTTTTGTTCATTGCGAGGAAGCTCTTATCACCCACGTGAGGTTTGCGAGCTGCCTAACCCCAAAAAGGAACTGAATGGTCAGAGGCTGCCACGTCGTCTCATGGATCACTTCTCTCCTGGTTTAATACGAAAAGGACCTGGCCAATGGTAGAAGTGTGGTTTCTTTCAAAAGTTGAACATCAGGTTAGAAATCACAATGTCATTGCCAGAAAGACTCGAGGATTTTTAAATATTTGTACTGATCAGTACTTAGATTCTGAGACGTATTGTGATTTTGTTCAATATCTAGAAAAGCGTGAAAATATAGAGCATCGGAGTCCACAGATGGCATATTAAAACTATTTCATGATTTGGCCTTTGGACCATTAGTCAGATCTGTACCTTGTTGCACAACTGAACACTTGAGAAGAAATAGCAAGCGAGCAAAGCCATGAAATGGAAGAGAGTTGAGGTTCTTTTCTAGCTTTTGTGTTTCGATCTTGATTGTGGCTGAAACGTCCAAAGGTTTGTTCCACAATAAAATAAGAACAGCTTCACCCAGTTCCCTCCTTTCATTTCCACGCCATAAGCGGCGCCAATTTTGAAATACTGTATCAGATCATGTATGTTTTTCAGTTGCTTAAGTTAAAGCAGGGGTGAATATTTAGAAAATACGTAATCATTACTATCACAAGTGGTTTCTTAGCGTGTATCAGCACCGTTATAATAGAAACTAAATGCTTTTACAGAAGTTGCTGATAACTTAAGTCACGTAATCTCTAAACGTGAAGATATGACGCATTAACACATCATTGAATACCCAAAGCAAAAGTTACTTATTAATACGTGAAGAACGCATGACTCCAAAGAACTCATTGAACGAAGGAGGAGAACTAAGAATAGGAAACATGTACAGGTAATTAACACTCCCGAAAGAAGAATAAGTCAGTGTTTAAGTCAACTTCACGATAGTTGCTTGGGTTTTAAAAACTTCAACTTGACTCACCAAAAACTTCACATGGAATGCAAACTATGCATATTGTAGACAGTTAAACCAAAACTTGACATTTATTATAAATCTATTGTTAATCGAACAGTCGAAATACCCTTAGTCAGTAAAAGCATGCAGGATAGAAAGAATGAAACCAGCTGCCTTTGAGATACATTTTGATGTGGTTCACATTGTTCTTCACGAACCACGAGAGCCGGAATACTGTCACTATAGATAGCACAGAAGAGCCCACAGCTCTGTTGATGGTTGCTTGGTTAGCTTTTTTAATAATTACTCTAAGTTCATTAGACTTCCTTTCGAAACTTAATTAATACCAATGCAAGAGATAATAACCGAACAGTACCTGATCTATGTTCTGCTTGTAGTTGAATTAGCGGCTTCCCTGTTTGCAGGTTCCTTAGAAAAACAATCAACAATAATTAATAGCGTTGACTGAACTTTTCTTGTTGTCTTGTAAACGGTTCTTGATCAGTCTTTGTCTCTCACAGCTGTGGGCCGACTAACACATATATACATCTTTTAATGAAATAGAAAACACACATGCTGCGAGAGACAATACCGTAGATATTTTTTGTTAAGATCCCTCCTGAGTTTATTTTCAACCACAATTCTGGTATTAGATTTACTGAGAACAGCCAAGATCAAAGCATGTGTCAGTGTTAATAAAGGTCTCCTTTCATCTGAGTGGTATTAGATTAATGAAGATTTTTTTATGTATATATTTACAAAGAAGACGTTTAAGCTCTAAACTAAACGATGTATCAAAGTAGTAACAACTAGCAAAAGTGCATGACTTTGGTTGATCAAAAAACAATCCAAGTTTTAATTAACTGTTGGATGTAGCAAAAGCGATCATAGAAAAGAAAATAGTGCTCTTCTACATCTAATAACAAAAACGCAGGAAATCAAAGCTCTTGTTTGAACTGTGTACGACACTCAACAAAGAATCTCAAGAATGTCAAGTTTATACGACATTGGGGGGTCCTAAATCGCCATTAAGTCTAAAGAAACCATATACTATTAACTTGAGCTTAAACAGAGTAAATATCGTGGTAATAAGTCAAGATTGGTGAAGAACTTCAACAACTTGAAAGGCACTTATCTCGTGTAACATATCAAAAGGTCTAATATATACGTTTGACAAAGCCGGAGCGGAACTATACTCCAAAGTGTAATATGATGTAAAGTCATCATCACCAATACAATACAGAGAAATCTTCCGTTCTAGTTTCTTTCAGCTAGGTATCATTTGCTGAAAGGTGTAAACGGTGTAACCACTCAAAACTAGGTAAAAGTTTGGTAGGATTTGTCGTCATGCATGACCATTTTATTCAAATCATGCTTCAGCTGTGTGACAGAGTCAGAAAGCTTACTTAAACGTATACGTGCACTGAATGAAAATAGACCTAAGCAGATGGGTAACTGATAACTCGATTGCCGGGATTTATCATCAAATTGAAAAAAGTTATTGCACGATCTGTACCGCTCGGCATGAAATCATTTTTGAAGACCAGTGCTACTGGCCCTCACGTCATAAGTTGTGTTAAACTAGGACCTGAAACAATAGAACAATATTTGCGAGCTACATGCAGGCATTCAAACTGACTCAAGAGTAAAAGAAAATATTACCCTCAAGGCGGTGCGGACATCGGATGAGTTGTAATACTTCGTTGTCGCAATCACAAGTCTCACAAACGTATCTTTTTAAAATGTGTTGAAGATTGGCGGTCAGCGTGACCGAGTGTTGTGTTTCGTGAGTTGTGTGGTCACAGTCAATCGTGTTCAAGTAAGATCAGCACGAGTAAGCTCTTAGCTCCGCAGGCTCTGCGGCGCAAATTAGCGTAATTAATGTATAAAGGCGACTAAGTTACTCGAGTACTCTGGTTTATTAATCTCGTTGAGTGTCTACGTATCTATGACAACACTAAAAAACTTGACTTTTTTTCCCAATGAGTGGCGGTTTGTTTAAACCGCCAGCATGAAATATATGGCTAATCGCCGAAGATTCCATATGAGTGCGCTAAAAAGAGTTATCATGCTCTTCCCCTCACCCTGCCCCCCACCCCCTATCCCCCCAAAAAACGAAGAAAGTTACATTCATGTTTAACCACTGGTGATCAGATTGATATTGTTTGTTTTTACAAACAAACATTGCGAAATATATTCGCTATTATTCCAGATTCAAGATAGTGGCTACCTTGGTCAATGATAAATTTGCAATAAATTATACGAATGTAGGACTGGATTTTAGAGCTTAGCGTTTCAGAATGTACGCCTATACTGTGGTTTTACAGCTCTGAGAGTAGACTCCCGGTTAATATTTGAAAATATTTCGGATCAGTTTTGTTTACCAATATTTTGTTTAACATTGTAAGATCTAAAAGGTATTTCTGATGTCTCAAAGTTTTCTTTTAACTCAAATTTTCTGCCTCGATGAGAGAATTCGATTAAAGACGATCAGTGCATTCCTCAGCTCTTGTACTTGGATTAACACAATATCGTGATGAGGACACCGCCAGGTGGCAGAATCTTTATTCAACGAGCTCTCAGAACCCTTGTTCACGCAATAGGGGTTGTCTGCTTCCCAGTTTAAGGGGTTGTCAAATTTTCGTAAGGCTAAAGAACTGAGCAATGATAACGAAATTAAACACGAGGTACTTCTGTGACTCAATTATTTTCGTCCAAGAAACATTGTCGCGCACTAGTTATAGTTTCATGTGCGTTACAGGCGATCGGATTACAAGTTCTCTTTTTCAGTTGGGCTGCGTGACGTTTGGCTTATTGTAAGTCGCATGAGACAAATCCCAAGAGAGTGTACAGGCATCTGTTCTATGTTGTCATAGCAACCAGAAGACATGGGCTTGAAACAAATCAACTCTTTGAGGTCCGGGTTAAGTTACTTTTGTTAAGAAGATGGAAAATCTTTAACAACGGCGAAAGGGAGGTGAATATGCCGAAAAAGTGTATTTGCGAGATCTGTACTTGCGGGTAAGCATCTTTGATTCAAGTCAGTGCGCGAGCCTGATCGTTCTTCTCTAATTCCATTCCTTGTTCAAGGATGCGTCTCTGTTGCTACTTCAGCAGAGTGATTGTTTAACCTCTCTTTGATTTCCCTTCTACTGTGGAAGAAAATTTTCAAGGTATAGAGATAAAAGGCGTAATTTTGACGCCCTTTTACTCCATAATGAGGGATTGGAAAACCCATTCAACAGAGATCTTCAGCTTTTAAAATGTGGCGAATTTTGGTGTCTATGTGCGTATTTGTTTTCTTCAAAAACCACTTCATCAGCTCGTGATCCCATTCAACAAAAAGGTATAAATTCTTATAGCCTTATGAAGTGGCTTCAATTTGAGGCAATTGGGTAAGCATTGCTCCATAAGTTTTATTACTGGAAATTTGCTTCGATTGTCGTGTGCTTCTAATTATAATTAGGATGTGCATTCGATTTCGGAAGTGTCGAGAATAACATACAGCTGTATCGTTATTGTGTTTATTTAGAGTACGCGCAGCCGGTTTCACCGATTTCTTCTCTATTTTGTAGGCTTTGTATAATCGATGAACAATGTATTCATGTGGTGAGCCGTGCGAAAAATGGCTATGCTTGTGTGACTTGTGTCTTGTGAAGGACCTTCAGACAACCTGAATGCCATTGTTATGTTTGTTGCTTACAGAATTTATGTTTTCAATATTTTCTAATTCCCAGTATTTAAGATGATAAAGTCAGCTTTTATTTACGAGTGTAGACAATTTAATAGAGTTATGTTCCAGTTATCGGAGAAAGTCTGACTTAACCAAGCAAGAAAATAGCATAGCGAACTCCTTGGAGATATCGATTCATTTTCAAGGTGCATTTTCGTCTCCTGTAAATTGAGAAGCTCGAGCTAAAGACTACGAAATGTCTAATTTTTTTTTCGCTTTGAAAACTATCACTGAAGAATTCGAATTTTGTTTAAAAGTAAGAAGTGAAGGGGAAAAACGACACTGACAGTAGAGGTGTGTCTAAGATAACATCTGTAATCCAGTTGAACAAAACCCAGCGCTCACCTTACTAGTAAACCAATAAGTATTTTTTGAAAGCTGTAGATCGCATTTTGTCTTAGATAACTGGCGAAAAGCACGTACATTTGGCAAAATACTTGAAATATTTTGCAAATCACTTTGCCATAAATGTAGGTCCATAAAATACAAGCTTCTCTGAGATTCCTCTAATATCTTACATTTATTATAATGCCTATGTTAAAGTCCATTTAAACCTTAATTAAACAGTGCTCAAACGTGTGTTTTGGTATCACTAAGTTCATAGTTGGGGAGCAAAATAATTTTATGTCATAGCTGAAGTCAAATTTAAGCAGCATTTTTTCATTATTTATGTGTACTCATTGTCTGCTTTGAAGGAAAGAAACTGATCTCAGAATGAAAAGGAACTCAAAGAGTATTGAAATCAAAATGGTTAAAAAAATTTTAACAAAGGAAAAATCTATGTATTCTTTATAAGTTATGCTTGTTGTTTAGTTTCGTCATTTGCAACACTCTAAAAGTTAGCGACAACAATGTTGTGGTTTCCCCTTCAATGTAACTAGGGTAAAACCTTGATTATCTGGACACATAGGGACTTGGTTGAATAGTTCAGATAACCCAGAGACCAATAATAAATATAAATGAGCCATTTAATCCACAGAGCTCTCAAGTTGATTTTCTGGCAAAGAGTGAGACACAGCATGCATTCTTACTTAGGGGAGTAGGGTACAGGGACATGCTTTCACCAAATTTGGGAAACATGTAGAAGCTAAAACATTAATTCCTTTATTCTCTGAGAAAATTTCCACAGTTGGAAAGAGTTCTAAGCAATTACAATGGGAACAAAGAGTAAATTATATTTAAAAGGACAAATTTTTTAGGCTCCTTACTGTAGCAGCAGGTTACTTTCTCAAAATCAACAGTTCAAATCACAAGCATTATAAATGTTTGAGAAATGTTGGCTTCAGTGGGAAAGTGTAAGATTGAATTGGTTTGCCTAAGGGTTGAAGGATCTCAAATCATTATGCATTGTTGCCAAAATTCACCATAATATTTACAAAACTTTATGGCACCAATATTTTAATTAATTGATTTTAATTTTAATTAATATTTGCGAAAAAATGGGACCAGGAAAGTGAGTCAGGATACATTAAAAATCTGGATAATTGAGGTTTGACTGTACTTTAAATAAGAGAGTTTTCATGGAAAAGAGATTGGGGTATTGGTTTATTTTACGATCTTTTGAACAAATTGTCTTAGCCTTGGGTACAAATTGTAGACAAGACATTTCATTTTTAAGTGTATTCCTCTGATTAGGAGTATAGATGGGTCCAAGTGAATTGTCGTTTGACAAAATACCTGCAATTAACCAGCAAACCATTACTGAGTGGCAAAACGTCTTTTTGTCTAAAGGCTTGGTGACCCCGACATGCATGTAGGTTCCAGCACAATTTAAGCCACTCAACCGGAATGAAGACTTCACCTTCAAGCCCTATCTTGAATTATTTATTATGATTATTTAGTTAAAAGGAACTGTCAATCCTCAAAAGTCTTAGAAAGTAGAAGTTACATGTAAATAAAAGCTGAGCATTTCTTTGTTTTTTGGCAGGATTGTGAAATGATTGGCACAGGAGAATGAGAGATAGTTTGCTAACATAAATCAGAGCATCTCAAATTGAAAAATTCCATAAGAAAGTTTGACAATCATCCATTTTATCTCATTTTAAAAGAAATCATGTCTTAAGCTTGGTGAGCAATAACCGAAAGGAATTGAGATGATGCTAGTACTTTTCTTAATATTAGTCTCTTGTCTGCCTGGTCCATTCTATGGTTTTTTCTGAGCATATCTTCAGTGCAAGGCTTGCTTTAAGTGTGTGCTTTTACATTTTATCCACTCTCATTCTTTTGAATAAGGCAGCTTTTCTTTTATTTACTGCAATTGGGTGCTGTTTACTTTGACAGCCTTCCTTCCCTACCCAGTAGGGAACTAGTCCCTTTGGATTCTTTCATTACACCTATACTTGTAAATTTAAAATGATGTTATTTGGCAAAGAACCAAGCCAGAGATCAGAGATTTAGAAATCATCTCATATTTCCTCACGTACTTTTTTTAATCAAAAGATTTGGTGTTGTTGATCAATGAACCAACCAACCTCGTCCCTCCAGAGGATAGAGATCTGGAAACGAAGTTCTGGGCCAACATTGTGCTACAGAGGTTCATCTATTAGTTGATCTCTCTTTTGTTGAATTCACTGACTGAGAGCCTCCTAAAGTTCTCAAGTTCTAACAGTTTTTTCAAAACCTTACATGGGTCATTTACATTCTCTAAGCCAACTTTGCATTCTCTATTATCGGGTTTGTCACATCCCTCTGGAATGCGAGGGCGTGTTTTCTGTGCTCTACTTCACACCTTTAGTAGCTTTAAGTTGTAATACTAAACCCACCTTTTTATTTTCTTTTAATGCATTGAAAAACTAAAAATGCTCGTTCCGAAAACGGAGATTTCTCTCTTCGCATCTGTTTAATTTTTCTGATAGATAAAGTAATTTGTTCAATTTTCGAATTATTCATTCATTTAACTCTGAAATTACCTATTAATTCCACAGACGCCATCGTTGCCCACATGAAGGCGCCTCTCCAAATCGGATCATCAACAAGTCAACTCAGGAAAGATGCCATGTGACCTCGGAGTACAGAACAAGTTTTCAACCAGGGCAGCGTACAAGGGGACCTTTTCGTCGTCCAGTGGATCTACTCCAAAACAAAGGCAACATCGATAAAGACACCACCCAAAAGGCTGACTACATTCCGTTCGAGGTGAGACCTCCAAAGAAAAAGGAGGCAGAAAAGTACGTACCCAATCCAAACCCCTTTGAAACAGTTTCGGAACACAGAGATCACTACCGTGGAGTACGTGCCATACCAGCCAAGATCCCTCCATATATCCGTGGAGAGACGATGCGTGCTCCCTCAGCCAAGGTGGTTTATAAATCCATTTCCCATGACGATTACAAAGGCTGGATTCCCCAAGTTCACCGTGTAGTACGAAGTAACTCTTACGCTCCGCCTGCCGACCCCTTCAAAGAAACATCAATCCACCGACAGGATTACCAACGGTTTAATCAGCCACCACGCCCTACGGCGCGTCAGCCCGACAAGATCAAATACGACGGTCCAATTTCATCTGTCACCCATTACAGGGTGGATTTCAAAGACAAGGAGATACCTCAGAGATACGAGAGGAAGAAAGAGGAGCGGGTGCCTCCTGAAGAGCCTTTCAACAGTAATTCAGTGTTCAGGGAGGATTTTGTTGATTTTCGTGGAGCGCCTAAAGCTCCCATGTTCCACCCTGTAAGTGATTTATTTAAGAGTTCTGAGCCTATGCAGCTTGAGACCACGAAAAAGGAAGATTTTAAGAGCTGGGAGGTGTCACCAAGGAAGCAAAAAGAGCCCGAGAAGTACAAAACACCTGAGGGAGCCATGGACTGTCAGACTACACATATGGACTACGCCAATTTCGGAAGGAAAGCTGTGCCAGCAAAGACCGCGAGACCACGTACCAAGCTGCGATTTGGACGAGAGGAAACACTTGATGACAAGACTAACTATGGCCTCAGTTTTAAATGGTTTTACGAGCCGGTTGTGCACTCAAAGGGCCCAGGAATCAAAAACGAGATTTTCCCGCCCATTCAGGAAAAGGTCCCTGAAAAGTCTGAATTTCTGGATAAATACAAGAGGTTTAATGTTGTGCCTCCAAAGATGTTCCGTGACCGTAGCGCCCTTTTTAAGACCTCCGAGGCTCTAGCCAAGGATACAGTGTATGACGACGATTATGTTTGGCCCCGAGTCAGTTGCCCGTCAGATGCTCTTTTTAAGGGCACAGGAGATTTTGTTTTTGATCACGAGACTGAAACCGGCCACAGAATGTTTCAGACAATCTCTGAAAATGTGCGCAGCAATGACATAACAGTTTCATAACATAAGTATCAGAGTGAGTGTTATTTCTAATTGTTGATAGTCAAATGAAACAACTTGTCAGAGTGATTTTTGTAGGATGAAACAAAAATTAGTTTTCGTAACGAATGAATCTGTCTACTGCACACAGCTAGTACAAAAAAAAATTCTGGGGACTCAGAATCAAAGGAGAGCTTTTTAACCCTTTAACTTCCAGATCAAATTTGTCATTCTCTTTACCGTCAACCATACAATTCTTATAATGTTAGTACAGAGAATTTAGTATTGGATCAACTAATTATCTCCAAAGTGACATTTTTCTTTATTCTCATCACTCATCTTGTTAATATTGTATTGGTAATGTAAGGAGAAATTCTGTCTTGGTCACTCATGGGAGTTAAGGGATTAAAACATGACAATCATGCAAGGAAATTTAAGAACTCTGTTGTTCATTGTTTCGTGCATACCAAAAAAAAAAGGAAACCGGGAAAGCTTCTATGGAGGTAATAACATCAAATGCAACCGTATACATACTAAATTTTTTGTCATTAGTATTTATTTTATTCAAATTTTTTTACTTGGTTAACCTTTGAAGAGGATTGGAAAGATTTTGCACATTAAAAGCTGATATTTTCAACAATTATGTCATCGATTATTTGTACCATAAAAAATGCGGAGTTGGTCCGTGGGTATCGGGAGAGAATGTCGTAGCCGGAAAGAATACAACTCCATGCCCATACAGGCAATTGGTAGATCTTCATTTCTACGTAAGAATTGACGCAAACTAGTAAATGGGAAGTAGAGAGGAGTTGGTGACAGTAGAGTGGTTAAGCTGAGTACATAATGATGGGGTTCATCCACTCCTGCTTTAGCTTGGACATGAATAAGGCAGGCAAGTTCATTGACAAATAAAAATAGCAATTTTACTTTTTCAAATAACGATATTCCTATAATAGCCATGTCACGTGATGTATATGTACTCTCTATGCATGTGTCCTCTCTATGCTATAGTAAGCTTGCAAGGCTCTTTGTCGATATGTAGACATCTTTTCAGTGATCTCCACTTGAGTTTGATTTTTTTAGGTAGATTTACAGACAAACACAAATATTCCTGAATTTAAATTGAGAAAATGCAAATCTGAACATTTCATAATTTAGTTCGAGTTCTCAAGGAGATGACTAAAATCTTCCTACACCTTAAACATTGCCTGTATTACCTTCAAACTGTATCGGCACTAAACAAGGCTTTCAACGGCTTCCAGATGACATTAGTACAATTGCTCTTACAGGTTTCGTTTAAATAAATAGAATATTTAACTATGCAAAATTTTAAGGATAACTTCATCTTCGCGCGCTTATTCAGGAGTGGCACGTGTTGCAACACCAGCGAGAATACACCGGGCACATTCTCATTATCTTGACCTTTTCGCAATACTTGACTTTGTCGACACAATTCGCTGAAAAAGAAGAAGATGAAATTTAGATCCATGTTGAGAAAAATGGCATCATTGACAGCAAATCCAGTTGTGATATCATGCCTAACAGTAGCAGCTATTTAAAGCCAACCTAACTGCAAACAGTTTTCTCTATTTTGGTATGCGTATATATCTATTTATTATTGTTCAACTGCACTTAGTCCAGCAGCTAAAACTGGGCGATATCCAAGTCTTCGTAGTCTGCGTTTCAAATTTTAATTCAAAATCAGAGAGGAATTTGTGACTGTTTTAGAAGGTACATCTTTTTTTGTTTATTAAGTCGTACACTTTATCAGGTCGAACGCTTTAAAGAAAACATCCCACACTGCATACAGTAAGCTGTTCATTAACAATTTTTAACAAACACTATAGCCTTTACTTTGCGCGGAAATAAGTACGGATATTTGTCCTTGGACAATATCTGTTCCAAGATGCGAACAGTTTTCCGAGAGCGCGTGGATATTGGAAAGTAGGTTCTTTTGTACTGTAAAAAAAACTGTTTCACCTGTCGGCTGTGCGTGTTACGCTTCTATATCTACTTCGCTTTTCCCACCTTGGAAGAAATACCTCAGTTCCAATTAGACCTCAAAAGAGTTCAACCCGAGTTTAATACACAAATGGATTAAAAATAAACTGTCAAAATCGACAAACTAACCTTTAGTACAAGACTTTCTGTTACAAGGTTCCTGCAGGGAGGGTTTTTCCTGCCAGTGACATTGACCTGTAGCTAGGTTTAAGCTCTTAAGAAATACGCATTGAACGTTGCGTAGCTTGATTCCATGTAAACCACAAGTACGCGAACACTAAAACATAATAATAATAATAACATAATGATTACATCTTGACAGACACCGTAAGATACAAACGAGCCGTTAGGTTGACGAGTGAGCAAAGGAAAGTAGGAAGGAGAACAAAACAAACCAACAAAAAGGAGTATTATGAGCTGTATTTCGATGAAAGAAACTTTCACGTTTAAGTAAAAATGTTTTACCTAAAGTTAAAAAACACCTTTTGGTTTAACCTCGTGAAAAAAAAAAAACTTTAGCCAGGTAGTTAGCCAACATTAATATAAAAGAAAGATCATAAAAATCCCGAAGTTTTATGCCACCAAAAGTATTATATCATCTTTCAACATGTTTAAAATCAAAAACTATTTTTCATTTCACACCGACATATGGATGAAAGTGCTTGATCACTTCTCAGCATTCGCGCGAAGAATCCCCAATTTTAAAGCATAATTTACATTAGTACTCGTGGCAAAGGTACGCCGTCTTTTAAAACGAATTTTCACCTCGGACTTCAAACTCTCAAATGGCTTGTCCCAAATTTACCCAATTCTAAGGACGGAGTCAGTTAAGAAAAACATCCAACATTTATTTCCCATCGTTCACTTATAAATTGCGCGTACCGGGGTCATTTTCTCCACTGGAAAAAAGGGCAGTTTTCCTTAAATTTCGAACGCGAAGGGTAAATCCTTAAATTTGTCAAAATTCATATTACTAGGCTACAAGGACTACATGCAACATTTGCTTTTCAAATTGTTGAGTAGCACTTCAGAAACTCAGGAAAGCAAGTAAAGTAAGTTTTCCACAGGAAATGTATGGCCCTATTCCACTCTTTTTTTTTCGGCTAGTCAAAGTGCGTTCGCATTCAAATTTCCCGTTTTGGTGCTGATATATAAATAACGGTGTTGGGCCACGCTGCCCGAGAAAAGAGGTTAATGTTATCAAAAATAACAAATGCAAAATTAGGTCTTGGCACAAAATATGAATAGGACGGATTGACTCTGGATAACACGATACTCACGTATCTTTAGCACAACAACTCTCCACATCCGTTAAACCACCATAACTTACCGCTGACCAAGCTGACGCCCGCCACATCACTTCACAGTCTTTGTGAGTACATTTACGGCGTTTGATTGGTTTAGGCTTATGAATACAATGGAGGTCATTAGCAACTACATTTCCTGGACCAATACAACTGATGTGTCTTTCCTGCCAGCCACGGCGATGAGACACACAATTGCCACACTAAAAAATATCCAACAGATATAGGACAATTAGTCAAGTGTAAGCATATTAAGCACAGCACGGCGAAACTGATTGATGAGCTATAGTTTGGCCTTTGGAAACTTCCATCCCATAACGAACATATCCCTCTGGGGGAAGCCATTGGGAAGGGTGTCACAAGACGGGGTTGTTAACAAAGCCTCACCATCACCTTGGCTACCAGAGAGAACACGCACATTGTAGAGAGATGTTCGTTACCGGCATGGAATGGAGCAAAATTTAAGTTCCCAGTGTGAATTCAAGAGCTAGACCTTGTCATTAACGGCCCGATTCTTTCGTTTGCAAGGACGGCCAGATACCAGGTTCATATGCCACACGTGCAGAATGAAGATTGTTGACTTAAGATGACATGATAACCAAATTTCTCCACATAATTTTTGACCAATAATTTTTTGGTTCACAGAATCACATATCACGAATCGTTGACCACAAAACAATTACACAAAGCACAGGGATGAAGAACTTGATTTAGTGAGTTATTTGGCTACTCATTGGTGACGTTTTGATCGGTAATGATAATATGACCTCCCTGAATATTCAAAAACTGTTGCCTCAGTTTGTTTACGTCTATATTCGTCACATCAATCAAATAAAAAAAGAATAAAAATAAAAATAAAATAAAATCCAATGATAAACTTGTTTGAAGTTTAGTTTCAGTTGACATGGACCACTGCAGTCATTTAGCTTATAAGCAACTTATTAAAAACAATTTACTTACTTGGCTCCACTCTGAAGCTTCCCAATACCCTAAAAACGAATTCAATTCATTAAGGCTATCTCCAATGACGATATTATGCGTCTCATATACAGAGTTACATAGTACTTCCACGGAATGGTTAAGCGTTTGACTTAACTAATGTCTCTGCAAGACCATCTTCGTTTTTGTAGTGATTGGAGAGGTTTCGAGATAGTTTTCGGCGTTTTTCTTCCAGTGGATTTGTTCGATTTAAGATTCCCACTCGCCTGTCTTAGAGAAGGATTATATAGACGGCAAAGCAGATGGAGGATTATATAGACGGCAAAGCAGATGAACCACCCATAAAACTCATACGATACATAGCAACAATTACTAAAACAAGGTGTTTACAACTAGCTCAGGTCTTTACAGTGATATGCGACCTTTTAGTAACAAATCCTTGTATTTCGCCCTTTAAGCAACATCAACATATATGCACATCTACGGTCCTTGTGCGAGCTTAGGCTACCTGTGTCTCCACTAAAGTCTCTGATCTGATTGCTATTCTTTCCGTGGTATGCTTAGTTTACATATGTTTGTTAGGTTCCCGGATGGACACAATGTTTTCAAACCCTGTGCTCACCTTTGCCTTGATCTCTCACAGTAAGCTGTACAGTTCCTTGATCTTTTCCGACTACGTTGGTTGCAACACATTTATATTGGCCAGACTCCTTAACAAGAATGCGACGAACCAACAGCACTCCATTGGGCAACAATAAATGTCGAGTGTCATTCTTGATCAGAACTCTATTCCGTGTCCACGTTACGTGAGGTTTGGGTCTTCCACTCACAGTACATATCAACACTAAATTGTAACCTTGTTTCACCGTTAGCGAAGATACTTTCCTTCTTTTAACTTCCATGTGAGCCATTGCATAACCTTCAATTCCTTTCTTATCGTAAAGATGCCGAAAATGACGCTCAAGGATTTGGGGCGGAACTACAATAGAGAAAAAACAATGATAACAAATATGGAATATGCATGTCAATAAAGAAACCCTAATTTTAATCCAGGAAAAAGAAATCGACTACCAGTCATTATTGAAGTCACTTTCGAACCAAAGTCTTGCTATGAAGGTTCATAAGAAGATCGACTTCATCAGAAAACAAATAAATAACATGCGCACCGAGATTTAACCTAAGAAAGCTGTCAGAAAGAAGTCATTAACTACCTGCTTCGTAATTCAACTTTTCGCACCTCTGAAATACTGTTTGACCAATCAAAGGCCGCATACGAAAGATTTTCAACCTTACTTAAAGGAGAGCTTTCCAAACCAAAACGCCAACACCACTGGTAGCTATAAGTCAGGTTTTCTGTTGACAGCCCTTTTCACCGTCCTCACCAACTCAGAAACTAAGTGAGGTCCATTGTTATCAGAGAGGTTCTACCTTCTTCATACCAATTACGCTGGATTAGCACATTCAAACAAGAACCCCGTTCAGCTTTACTCTTACAATAATTTTGAGGTGTTTTTCGCATTAATGTGATGCTGATTTGAAAGAATGTTAGGAATAAATTTTAACGACGTGATGGTCGCTTGCCGTAAATTGGCCGTTATAATGTACTTCGACAATAAGCAATTTCCTTCATAGCTGATTCGTTTGTCCAGTTTTATCCAATCTCAAATTCTATAGCACTCTGCCTTAACTAATTCATTCAGATGAGAATCTTCAGAACAAAACATGATTGAATTACAGTACGCACTCATCAGACATGACGTAACCTTTAAGGCCATGTTACTTTAGGTCTTGCTGTAACTTCTTACCCAAAATGCTAACGGTTGTAGTCCTATTTAGTGTCCCATATGAATTGTTTGCAATGCAAGTGTAGTTTCCTTCATCCATAAGGTCGGCGTTAGGTACCTCCAATGTACCGTCATGTAAGACAGTGTATCGACTCTGTCGGCCTGAAGTCGCCACAATCCACTTGATAGTGGGTTTTGGTGTTCCCAAAGCAGCGCATCTAATGTTTAAAGTTGCTCCTTTCACTATTGTAGCAGATGCACCTGCAGCTTTTAGATGTCTAGCGCGGTCGTTAAATCGAGATTTCATTCCTTGCCAATAACTTGGGATCTCTGGAGGTGCTAGGGAAAATAGATGGAAAATATTTCATGAAGAGTACCTACAGGTAAATTTTGAGTCAATGGTGCCAAAGGTCCACCACCGTGAGCACAAATGATCATTAATAGTGTTTTAATCGGTTTAAGAAGGGTGTTATTTGTTACAACCAATGTTAAATTCTCAGGAAAATGCTCACTGTTATTAGTCGTGATGAGATCACAAAATTTCCATACTGCACGTGTGCAGATTTTGTCACAAAAGTGATGTATGGAGAGATCATAGAGCTGAAGAAACACGTTTACGGCAGAAGGCTCATGTAAAAATTCTAGATTTCAAAATTCTGTTGACAATCATTTGTAGTATAAAATCTACAATATTTCCGGAGTGTAGAAAATCAAGACTGGTTTTTTTCCCTTTTTGAGCTATCCTTGACGTTACGAAAGGCTGTAAAAAAAACCTATAATTATGTTTCCTGTTAGTAAAAGCATTTGCTTCCATGGACAATCGACGAAAAGGCGATCCCAAAAGATGTCAATATGTAGCAAGACCAAGGCAAGGCTGAGGAGCCGCGCGCTGGCATGTCTTTCATGTTTCTATCACATTTTGACGTCTTCTATCTATCACATTTTGACGCAGCACAATGGAATCTAGCTCTTCTTTGAATTATAGCACTTCTAAATAGTTTAAATCAACTTCGGGCTTTTTCCACCCTGAAATAACCCTTATAATGGTGTATTCAACGTGACAAGAGATACTTCCTATGTATGTGTAACTTCATGCGCTTGCGCGTTCACAGGCCTACTACAGATACCTCCCATAGTAAATCCAGCCAACCTGCGCGGCATTAATTTTAAGGGTTTGTCAATTAGTTAAACCATGCCTGCCACAGACATCAGTTTTTTTTTTTAACTATACAAAGTACTCCTCGATTGAACTCAAATTTTGCCAGTCAAAATTTAATTTTTTTTGTCTGACCCTGAAAACTTGTTAGTATAATTTCCTGAGCTGTGACAACCATCTCAATCATTCGGTAAATGAGAGAAACCACTGCACACTTTAAATATATAATAAAAGTGTACTTCCTTACTTCCAATGTTCAAGTGGGTTGTTCCTTCATCTTGTCCAGCGATATTAGTCGCAACACAAGTATAAAAGGCAGCATGAACCACTAAAGTGTGCTTTATAGAAAGGGAATTGTCTTTCAGTATCTTCAAATGCGCGTTGGGTACCACTAGCATTCTTTCCTTGTGATTTTGGTCTCGTTTATACCAAGTTATATCCGGTTGTGGAATGCCCGTTGCCAGGCATTTTATTCGGACTGACACGCCTCTAGGAATGGTGACCACTGCTCCCGTTGTTATGGAGATAAGCTGTCTGATGTCGGTTATCTCAAACGAGCCTTTCACATTGCTGATCAAAGGCGGAACTGAAAAGATGAAATGATGTATTTAATTTTTCAATCAAGATGGAGCCTTGTACATCATCTAAAATGAGTTAACTGAAGTTTCCATATGTGTAAATGTCCTTGAATGTCTAATTGCTGTAAACTTTTTTTAACCCGCCGAAAACAATGGAAAAGTTAGAATAAGATGATTTGAGGATGACACACGCAGTAAGGCTCTAAGGCATTAAAGGTCGAAGTCGTGATACTTAACACCACACTAAGACACCTTTCATTGATTTACGTGCGGTCTCAGTCATATCTCCGCTTGATTTGAGTCGCATGAACAAGATTTAAGTACAAAGGAAAAAAAAAGGGCTGCTCCAAAATTACCTGTGATGGTTAGCAATAGTGACTCATCATCACGACCGAACCTATTGGTTGCTGTACAATCATAACGGCCTGCGTCACCTAGCTGAACATTTTCAATCATTAATGCCGTATGATTCACTTGGTGCCTGTCCCCAGTGGTAATAAGCCGCCCATTGTGGTTCCACGAGACAGTAGGTGTGGGTGAGCCCTCTGTAACACACTTCATGATGATCGTGGCATTGATAACGGTCGTCATGTTGGCGCCGATGGGAACAACGACGGGTTTACTGTTGTTAACGTCAACTAAATTCACCTTGTTTGATAGAATGACTGGTTCTCTATGTTCTGTAGAAACAAACAAACAAACAAAAAACAGGAAGAAAAATCTTTAACTGATTAACCATGTTACTGAAGATCGTGTCAGTTTGAAAACGAGACGTGACTCACCCAGGACTATTAGTTCTGTGGTGACTGTATCCTGCCCTGCCATGTTAGTCGCCGTACATGTAAAGTTATCAGCGTCTCCAATCTGAATATTGCTGATGGTCAGCGTTTCTTCCTCGATATCGTATTTCTCATAAACTGATGATGTCTCGATACCACGTGTCCACCTCAACGAAGGCAGAGGAATACCACTGGATTTACATACCAAGGTAACGGACGAACCATCAATGATCTCAACTTTATTACCCACAGTGACCTTCAAGGGACTGTATGACTCCCAGAACACATCTCTATCAGAACGCTCTATCGAGGGCTTCCTTGTAACTGATAAAGTTTCAAATGGTCACTAACAATAGTAAATTCCTGGCCAATTTTCCAGTGACTATAGACGTATCATTTCTAAATAAAATGTTAAATCAAATAATCGAGATCCCACAAAAGTTAACAATGGCTGGCTTTGACTCCTAATAAGCTGACTGACAGACAGACACATACACCGCCTGATCCAAATGCCATGCCATTCTTATCAGAGCTATTGGGGGAAGATGGACACATTTTGCAATTTAGACTAAAATTCGCTCTTTAGATCTGCCAAAGATGGGTGATTAACACAGTGATTAAAAATTTACGTTTACCAGTATTCTGAAATAAGAAGCAAATAGATGTTGAAGCTCATTATAATTAGGACAAAATAGTAAACCCGTTCGTAATCCTTCCTTGCGTTCTTATACTGAGTCCGCTGGATAATTTGGTGCACTAATTACTATAATATGCAGTGTGGTGGTTGAATATACACCACACCTTAATAATCGTTTTACTGATTTTTGCATACTCTAAAGACAACGCGAGTGAGAAAAGTAACCCTTACTTGAGACTGTTACAGGAGATGTGGCGCTATCAATCCCTGACCGACTGCTGGCAGTGCACGTGTAATTACCGCTGTCTTCAGCTTTAGATACCCGGATAATCAACGTTCCGTTTGAAGCAAATGTTACGCCGTCGTGTGACGATATGCTCTGACCATCCTTAGACCAACTCACCGTGGGTTTCGGAACACCCTTAACATTGCATGCTATCACAACTGTGGTGCCATTGATAGTATCAATCTTTGTACCTACTCCAGTGGTGATTTGGTTGTGGTCATCTGAAATGTCAGTTCCTTGTGACGGCAAGATGATGGGTTCCGCAGGTTCTAAAAGAAAATTTTAGGAAATCATCTTTGAAGGAGTACTCACTCATTATGATTTGTATTTCATTTTGTATACAATTACGAAAGAAAAATACCATCTCTTTCTCTTAAAAGCAAGTGAGTTTTACTTTTTTGGGATAGCAAAAGAAATACTGTAACGTAGCCCTAGAAATCCCACTACTTTGGAATGTTGCGAGTTCTTAAGAGTCATGAGGGACACTGTTAGGAGACCACGCATCACGAGCGAGACATACATCATTATTATTACTATTACGCGTCTTTTATTCTTACAATAATACCGCTCTCAGTCTTTTCTCGCCTGGCAAGTTTAAACAAGTGAATGAGAGTCTCCTGAATTTACGCCGATCAAAGCATTTTTTTCAAAAGGGCTCACTGATACCTGGCTCGCAAAGCAGCTGCCTCCTCACATACCTAGAATATCGATGGGTGACGTCACTTCCTCTTTACCGGCAACATTCTGTGCCAAACAAGAATATCTCCCCGAGTCTTCCGTGAGAGCCTCCAGAATAGTCAGTGTGCCTTTGTTATCAATAACATACCCATTACCGGATACCAACTCTTTTCCGTCTTTTTTCCAGGTTATGTTTGGAGGAGGTGATCCTTGTGTGGGACAAGTCATGGAGATTTTAACAAGAGCAATCTCAGTAATTTGACTACCAATTGTTGTAATTACTGGGTAACCGTTTCCAATTGATATCTTTGGGCCTGGCTTTGGAACTAAAATTAATGGCCCCTTCAAATCTGCAAGTGAAGAGGCAATACATTAGTCTGCAATTTGCTCAATCGCTGCGAAACATTAAAGACTGCGGCTAATCACTACCTTAGGTGCACGTTTATGAATACAAAAAAACCCAAGCGTTAATCGGTGTTATGAATAATTGTTGTAAATATAAGCTTCTAGAAATCTCCAGACTGCTTAGTCATGCTGACATGCGTATCATAGAACTTTCAATTTAATCAAGTCACGCACTTATTTCGTAATACTACTAAAATAGTTCTTTTGTAAGCTTCTGGAATGTTCCAGAACACTTTGTGAATGTATATAAGGACTCATTTATGTAGTAGTGGCTGTTGCTACCGTCGGGAGTGACCGAATGTGTAGAAAGCTATGCCGTGAGCATCTTCCAGAGGTGAGCTAAGATATAGACTGTCGTGGGCTTCAGTAAGTTCATCGAGGATAAGTACTGTACAGCCTTTAGGAGTGGCTCCTTATTAAGAATAAGTTTAATAAAGTAGTTGAGTTTGTAGGATTGTATTGTTTTTTTGTCGATAGAATATACCGTAACATCGGGAAAACATAACATTGTTGAATTGCAATAAAAAGCTTACTCATCTTTTGTAACATACATGCCAGGTTAAAAGAATATGAAAGACTTTTTATCATACTACTTACCAATAATTTGTACTGTGCTTGATGCGCTTTCCTTACCAGCAACACTTTCTACAGTACACGTGTATCGAGCAGTGTCTTCTTTGTTGCTATCCTTAATAAGCAAAGAGCCATCATCCTGAATGCTGTATCTGTCTTCTTTTACAATTTTCTTGCCATCCTTTGTCCACGTGACAGTAGGTATTGGTACTCCACTGGCGTTACATCGAATGGTAACGCTTGTATTAATAACTGCTGTCACGTTGTCACCAATGGTCGTTACAATGGGACTTTGGTCCGTAGACTCGATCGTCTTTGGCTGGTCAGGGATTTCTATTGTAGGCCTGGAAGGCTCTGTATTAATACAACGTATGAAATTAGTTTGCTGAAAAAAGATTACAATAAATATCCAACTCAGTGGTTATATCATCACTTACCAATAATTTCAATTGTTGAAGAAGCACTGTCGGTGCCAGTAAGACCACGGGCGCGACAAATGTACCGGGCGTTATCTTCAGACGTTGCTGCTACAATCACCAAGGTGTTATCCCTTGTGATCATGATGTCATCGCCAGGGATAATTTCCACTCCATTTTTCTCCCAAGTAACAGTTGGTGTTGGTACTCCATTCACTGGACACCTAATGGTGATGGTAGTGTTTGAGGCTGCTGTCACGTTATCACCAACGTTCATAGTCACTGGACTACCATCACCAATCGGAATCTTTTGACCAGTTTCAGATACAGCAACAACCGGCTTTTTAGGCTCTGAAAAACGAAAACGCGTGGTAAATTACCACCGTGCCCTTAGTCTTTAGGCGAATGTTAGAATTCCTAAGAATTTAGTACGTTTCGTTGGCCAAACCAGGATCCCAATGGTTTCTGCTCCCAAAAAGGTCAAACCCGACAAAAGTCTGGAGATCTAGATGGTGCATTACCGGTATTACTCTGTAGCAAGTCCTCATTACTAACTGCAACGAAATACCAATTATATTAAGCTCACCCGCAACCATCACGACACTCGAGGCACTGTCTTTACCAGTCGCACTTTCCGCAATGCAACTGTATCGGGCGGTGTCTCCTTTATCTGTTCCTCTGATAATCAGTGAACCATCATCCTGGACCGCGTACTTGCTGTCGATGCGGATTTTCTGACCGTTCTTTAACCACGTGACTGCTGGTTTTGGAACACCGCTGGCATGACACTGAATAGTGATATTCGTGTCGGTAAGTGCTGTCATGTTATCGCCGATGTTCATGATGATAGGACTCTTGTTTTGAGCTTCTGAGGTCTTAGGCTTGTCAGGAATCTTCACCACCGGTTTGGACAGTTCTACCGAACGGAGTCGTGTTCAGTTACTTTTGTTCATATAACACTTTTTTCCATAGTAAACTGATTCTAAGAACCCAGATTTTGTTAACTTAAAGGTGTTACCACCCAAAGAATTGGTGTTCAAAAGAAGCTTTCGAAAGAGAAAAAGGCTGGTTATTCAAACAGAGTCGTTTTCGTCTCAGCAGTTAAACTCCGCTCTTGAACATCTTTAAGTTGCCGAAACTCTTCAGTCAATGTCAATTAATGTGATCAGTGTCTAAGGGCTAGTAGCTAACTTTGAAAAAAATTCACCTGTTGAAGTCCAATTATTGACACCGCGGCCTTAGTCAGACTTCATTTGAATAACCGAATCAAAAACTTTATCAGGGTAGAATACAACAATTTGGTCAAAATAAACCAAAAAACAAACAAAACAAAAAAAAGGACCGTTGAGGACTAAGTGTAACATCTAAAAGACTGACGAACCAACGAACGAAATTTTTAACAAAGGCTCAAGTTTACAACATTTTCAAGGGAGAGACTCAGACGGCAACCACTTCTGGTTCTCCAATTCCCTGATCGGGTAATTTAGATCAATTACTCTTATTACGTTCTCTTGACAACTGAGTCTTTGTGGGATTTGAATGAACAATGCACTCAATAAACAAATTTAAAAAGCGAAGACATTAGAACAAAGAGAATCTTCGATATTTTCTTCTCTAACGTTGTATTCAGACTTTTAAACACCATATCATCGTGGTTGAAAACACCACACTGAAATGAAACTGACCTACTATGCTGACAGTTGAGGAAACACTGTCCGTTCCAGCAATGCTTTGGACGCTACACTTGTAATTAGCGCCTTCATCAACACCCGCTTCTTTAATCACCAGACTGTTATCACTGCTAATTGACAGTCTCCCCTCCGGAGTAACCTGCACGCCGTCTCTTTCCCATGAAATAACTGGTTTTGGTATACCACTAACTGGACACCTGATGGTGATGGTTGTGTTTGAAGGTGCTGTCACATGATCACCAACGTCTATGGTCACTGGACTGCCATCACCAACAGGAATCACTCGTCCAGGTCTTTGAACTTCGATTACTGGTTTGACGGGTTCTGAAAATCATTAAAATAAAAATCTGATAAACCTAACCGACCACACTTCCATGGCAAAACCACTAAAAGTGCTTGGACGTTAAAAGTATAATTATTTCGTAGAATGACCAATGACCAAGTAACAAAGAAAACTCACCTACGATCTGCACTATGCTTGACGCACTAACTTTACCAACAACATTTTCTGCAGTACACGTGTATTGAGCAGTGTCTGATTTATCAGGCTCGCGGATAAAAAGCGATCCACTATCCTGAATTGCGTATCTATCTCCACTGCTTATTTTCCGACCATCTTGTGTCCAAGTGATAATTGGTGGTGGTACGCCGCTGGCGTTACATTGAACGGTAACACTTGTATTAGTAAGTGCTGTCACGTTGTCTCCAACGATCAGTGCGAGAGGATTTTGGTCCATAGATTCTATCGTCTTTGGTTCGTCAGAACTTTTTATCATAGGCTTTCTAGGATCTATTGGATGAAATGGGAAAATGATTTTCAAATGGTTATAAATATCAATTACCTGCGGAAAATTAACCAAAAATATAGTTAATAATCGATTGAGTATTTCTCTTGCCTAAAGTTCCACAATAGTTTCTTCAGCAACTAATAACATTGCCAAGTGGAAACTATCAATTAGTCTATCGAACAAAGACGAGGGGTTATCCGAAATTTGATCTTTGCATGAAAGAGTTGCATATTTTGGTCACAAACCTAACAGAGCAATAAAGCTTGATGCACCGTCCTGGCCAACAAAGTTCTGTGCAACACACGTGAACTCTCCAGGATCTTGGACTCCTCTGATGATAAGGGCTCCGTTGTTGTCAGTGTTGTAGTTTCCACCATTACCCAGTTGTTTTCCGTTCATTTCCCAAGTCATGCTTGGTTTAGGGACTCCTGAAGCTGTGCAGTTGATGTTGACAGGAGTGGTGAGTATGGCTGTGAGGTTGTCTCCGACTTGCATGTCTATAAGTTCGCCACTGCTAATGTACGCCCTATTGGAGATGTCAACTGTCGGTTTGACGGCCTCTGAAGGGAAACAGATCATTCTGAGAGTAAATAAATAATAAAAGGGAAGAAGAAAAAAACAACAAAGCTAGTAATAGCCTTAAATTCCCAATTTTTGGGTCCTTTCCATAGATGCAACGAGGCTTTAATGAAAAGGTGCAATACCATCTCTCTACGCGCTGGTGTTGCGCATCTCTTCAATTTCCTGTGTGCTGTTTCTTAAACTGTAACCACTTATTTTGCTTAGGGTAAGTCTACAGGTAAAAATATACCGAAACAACAGGAAAACTGATAAAAGTAATGATATGAAATAAATCAGTGTTATAGTCAAAAACAGCTTGTAAAGTTTCTTTACAAGTCCCAAGAATCTTTCTTAGGGTGCCGAATCAATTTTCAGGGTTGCTGCCTGGTTTTGAGGGTCTTTGGACCTCAACATAGCTCTCTGGTTACCAGACTAAATTACCAGAAATTATGGCAGAAATGAAGAATTAGACTGATAACTCCCATTCTTACCAATAACCGTTACAGCACTAAATGCAATATCCATTCCCAAAAAGCTTTGAGCGGTACAGACATAATCCCCGGAGTCTTCAAGCTCAAGCTTGTAAATGTTTAGAGTACCAACGCAGTCCATGTCCATGCGATCATTAGAAGTTAACATCTTGCCATCTTTTATCCAGCCGATTTTTGGTTCTGGTACGCCAATAACTGGGCACTTGATTGTCATCGGACTTCCCTGTAAGATAGCCACGTCTGTTCCAATAGTAAAATTAAAATGTGTCCAGTCCTGCAGAGATTCCGCACTGCCATAAGATGACATTATATCAGGTGCCATGGGTTCTGTAAAAGAACGTAGAGAAGTTGTTGAGCTAACAGGCAAATAGCGTGGAAACTTAACTTGATGCGAAAAAGTAGGTGGAGAGAGTGCGTCTCTTCCCACAGTGAGAAGGATAAAAACATTCTCAATTATTGCATAAATCATTTAATTATGAATGATATAGGTACATTTGTTTATCGCGAATGTAATAAAGGACGCTAAGCAGATCTGTAAAGTCTGCAAAGGTAAAGAACGTTTTGCTTTGAGATTTCTGTCCCCGGCTCCACGCCCCTATACAACCACCGCTTCCGCCACCGATTCATGACTTCCACGCTGTGAATTATAATTATAAATTATCTAAATATAAATGTGAATTGCTTTGCGATAAGAGCTTACATGGTAATATGTGCTCCACTTGTAGTGGGGGTGGGGGGGGGGGCATTTATCATTTTGGTATCAGCGTGTCTTAATAGAGGTGCAAGTAGTTATAAAGAAATTGTGGAGAGAAAAGTTTGGGCGTGGTCTTCTTCTCTTAGATGAGTATCAAATTTGAAAGGTAAGTCATAATTTTACCTGAAAATCTTTTCCGTGGATGCAACTTTTTTTTAACATTTTATTGCAAGTTGTTAAAGAATTGTTTACAAACATAGAAACTAGCAGAGACCATACCGTGAACTTTCAGTGTACTAGTAGCAGTCTTGACCCCCGCGAAGTTCCTTGCCACGCAGGTGTAGCGATCTGTGTCCATAGGATCGAGTCTGTACATGATCAGCGTCTGACCAATCACAAGATAGTTTTTACCGCTCCTCATTTTCATCCCACCCCTGTACCAAGACACAGCTGGTTTTGGGACTCCAACGGCAGGGCAAGTCAAGGTTAACCTCCTTCCTTTCAATGTTGTCAAATTGTCTCCAATTTTTGCTTTAAATGGTTGGCTCTCATACCAAATGATGTAGGCGTCGGATTTTCTTATTGTAGGAGCCATGGGAGCTACACGAAAAAAAATCGTGTGAAGACAACTGTTTTGTTATCGCGAAATCAATATTCTTTTAGAACTGTCGTAACCAGCATGATAACGATGGTCATTTTAACTTATTCAACTATTTTTATTATTATCATTATTCTACTTCATTCGAAATATTGGATGTGAATCGAAAAAAATATATAGCCGACGTTTACAGTTATGGTGTAACGCAAATCAACAAGCATCACCTGAAATGCACTTGAAGTGCACTCTAAATTTGGTAATACATCTGTCAATAAAGTTGTTAAAACAGTTTCAATAATTACCTCGAACATACACAGAAGAGGCTACAGAAGCTTTGCCGATAATATTCTTTGCTAAACATCTGTAGCGTCCGGTGTCATGTGTCCGAGTGTTCGTTATGGTCATTGCACCATCATCAGATATGGAGATTCTACCCTTGGAATCTAGTTGTTGGCCATTCTTACTCCACGATACAGTCGGCTCGGGAGATCCTTCAGTATAACATCTCAGAGTCAGAGATGTAGCTGTGAACATCTTCACAGTGACACCAACAGATCCCGTTACAGCTCTTCTCTTGTTTAGCGCATCGATTGTTTCTGTATCAGATGTAATACGTGGAATCGCAGGCTCTGAAATGAATGCGAAGAATACAAAAATAATGAGACCCTCTTACGACTATTCACTCGACAAGCGCGGGCACAGACAGAGGACATACGTATTATGGTCAAAAACTCATCTCACACTTCAATAACTTTCCGTGTGGTAATGACACAACTATAGACAGGACCAAACATTCCCTAGATCTGGGTGGGGTCACGCATATCGTACTTATATTGACGAGTGGATACTCGTGGGAAGTTTTGGAAAGAACGAGGGCATCCTTGGAGTTTCTCTTTGCGCAGCCTTCCTGAAATTCTCAACAAATTTACAGTCTGCAAACTGAATACTTTTCAAACAAACTGCCTAGAAATCATTGTTATCAAAGAGGCAAAGAGGCAAACAGGCGAAAAAGTAGACTAAATTCATTCAAACTTTGAATTTGAAACTTCTTTTTTCTCTCCCTACCTATGACATTGATAATGGTGCTTAACGCTGCTTTTCCTGCCATATTCTCGGCCTGACATGTGATCCGCCCAGCATTGTGTACATCCTGAATGTTCAACACTAAAAAGCTGCCTTCCTCAGCCTCCAATCGCTCTCCATCTCTCAGCCACGTAATATTTGGTTTTGGTATACCGCTTACGACACACGTGATATTGATTTGAGACTGTGTTAGTACTGTAACTTCACTTCCTACTGTAACTTTCACAAGGGTAGCGTTGGTAAGAGGGATTCTGTCGCCTTCAGGTGGACGAATACGAGGCTCTCTTGGTTCTGCAATTTTGTGATTTGTTCAAAAGAACATGTGAGAACTTATATTGTTGTTTTAAACTATATTCTAAAGAATGAAGATGTCGTGTTTCTTTACACGTTTGTTTTCAAAGAGGCCTAATTTCAAGTTGATCGGAAAAAAATTTCTACGTTGTGCCTTGATTTTATCTCAATCGACAGGTGGAGTCCTTATTAACCGCACACGAACAACATACGTACACATTCGACTTTTTGGAAATCTCCTGAACATTTAATTCTAAAGAAACTTTCTTTTCTGCAAGCAACGAAATAAATGCTCAAAAAGTACTGAACCATATATATATATCTATAGGAAGCCTGTATACGATAGTATTGAGGGAGAGAACAAAAACTACAATCATCTATGTGATATATTCTATAGGCTGGGTTAGGGTTAGGTGAAGACACTAACCGATGACTGTGATTTTCGTAGACTCCTGATCGACACCAACTTCACTCATGGCAGTACAGAGATAATCTCCCGAATCTTCTGCAGTGGAATTTTCAACTCTGAGAATACCAGATCGCGTCGTAGGAATCAGCTGTTCTTCTCTGCTCCAGGCTAATGACGGAGTGGGCAACCCGTCAGCAGAGCAAGTGACTGTAATACTCGTGCCAGACAGAACGGTGACGACATTACCAGCGATAGCTTGTACAGGAAGACGATCCGATAGAGAAATGATGCTTTCTTGAGAAGAGCTTATTGATGGTGGCTGAGGATCTGAGTAAGGCGGCAACAAGGTAACAAATTATCCAGTTCATTTAGTTGGGACCTAATCAAAATCGTGATTACTATAAAATTCAAACAGTTCTTAAGGAACCTCTTAACACACAAAAATGGGAAAAGTTGCATGTGTTCACAATCAACGCCCCTACAACATCTAGGAAAAAAATGTCATGAAAAGGAAATTTATGGCACTGGTTAGAAACGAAATACCTACTTCCAAGAAAAAATAAAACTTACCAACGACTTTAAGTATTGTAGATGCGGATGCCGTTCCCGCTACGTTTTCCACAGAGCAAACATACTGAGCTGAATCAGATGGCCGTAACGCCATCAGTACAAGTGAACCGTTAATGACCTCATATCCAACGTCTGGTAAAGGATCACCTTCTACATCTAAAACAATCCACTTGACATTCGCTTCCGGAAAAGCCGAGTATTCACAAGTCAAGGTCACTTTCGTTCCAGAGAGCACTTCAACTCTTCCCCCAACGGGAAGTATTCTGTGCTTTCTGTTATACCATGAAACAGAAGTGTCGGATGTCGCTATCTTTGGAAGAGAGGGTTCTGAAAAAAGAAACGAAATATTGCCTTGGTAACACTAAATTGGTCCTCTTCATATCATCACTATGTAACATATTTTGAATTTCAGTTTCCAACAAAATTGATAGTGCATTTATTTCAACTTGAAAGGGCTTAGATTCTCGCTAGAGTAATGATATCTATTGAACACTGAGACTAAGGCTTGAATGTACTGTACATAGATGGTTGGTTTGTTTTTTCCGCCTTTGCCTCCAATCAGTGATTCCAGCTTTAAGCACCGAATATAACATTTTTTCCATCACAAGACTGACCTCTTGTAACGAGAAGATCCAAGAAATGTTTTCACTCACCAATAACTTCTAACACAGCCGCACGAGAGTCCTCGCCAGCTTTATTCACAGCACTGCACAAGTACGTCCCAGAGTCTGTCGGGTCAACATCACGAATCGTCAACAATTGTCCACCTTGATTCACATCAAATTTGTTAGCTGGTTGCATATCATTACTGCTGCTATTCCAAGAGACAGAAGGTTCAGGAATCCCCGAAGCCACGCACTGGATGTTCACAGTTGTCTTCTCCAAAACCTTTACAGTACCACCAACTGCCACTGTTACAGGTTGCCGATCAAAAGACTCGATATCAATGGGATCGCCTCTAATGGAAGGCTTCTTGGGTGCTAATAAATGGTAAAGATAGGTGATCAACCAAATGTGGAAGTTAAAAAATAGGAAAGACACTCGACTGCTTTCATACTTGTGTCCTTAAAAGGAAGAGAACGTTACGCAGAAATATTTTTCCACCGAGAAGAATGTCTAAATTCAATTTCAGACAATTTCTATCCGTCTAAAATGAAGCCCGGGAGATGAGTATCCAGCTTGAATGACTAAATGTTGTTGTACAGTGAAGTCAATGCGTTATAGGATAGTAAGAAAGACCCATTTACCACAATATGGCCCTTTAAAAAGTTAAAATGACTTCGCATTCGGTTGCCCGACTGAGTCGTTCTCTCAGATCGCGACATAATACAAATACACCAACACCATAGTTTTGAGTATTACTTTTGTCCTTGGGAAGGGAAGAAGGCCTGGTAGGAAAGGCAGGGCAAGTTTTGCATTTTCTTACGATCTTAGAGAGGAAACAGGTTCATCTGGAATTTTAGTTTAGTTGCGTACCCATAAAATTAACCCGAGTTGCCATCTCATCAGATCCGGCACCGTTGGTGGCTATGCATGAGTAGATGCCAGAGTCAGACCAGGTACCATCCAAAATTCCAAGTGTATTGTTCAAAATCCGTAACCTTTCACTGCTGGAGATCAAACCACCAGGTGTCTTCCAATGTATTTCAGGGACAGGATTTCCTGTAGTTGGACAGCTTATGTATACTGTAGAACCCTCGACAGCGTCCAGATCATCGCCAATAACAAGCCGGTGACTCACAGATTTGAAGTCCCTGAGGTCTTTATTTGAAGACATGATCTTCGGTTCCACTGGAACTAAGGATTAAAAGAGTAGCTCTACTATTGATCGTGACCACCAATCTATACTGTCAATACGGCTAAGGTAATCATTAAGAATATTACTAAGTAACTGCTCGGTAGGGTAACATCAGCTTACTACCCAAAAGGCCCACTCCTGTATCAAGAACACAGCACAGTGATAAGGTCCTCGTTCCAACTTGGACCTCTCGATCCGGAATCCAGCGCGCTCACTACTGTACTACGAAGTCTTCCGCAAACGATCATAAACCAGTGTTATTTTAAGTGTTCAACAATTGATCCAGCACTATGCATCCGGTTTGATAGTAACTTGGATTTAGTCAATATCTAAAAGAAAATTTTTGACCTCTACAAACGCTTTATAACGCCATTTGGGAAAATTTGAGTTGCCTCTCAACAGTAGAATTAAGTCGGACTGTAAGTCAGTGATAAAAGATAGGCGACAGGGGACAAATTAGCAAAGTTTCAAGTACTCACTGATCAGAGACAAAAACGTAGTCTTTATGTCCTTCCCAAAAGTGTTATTGGCATGGCATGTGTAAGAGCCAATATCCTCCGGTGTGACACCAGCAAGATTCAATACCGCTTTCGCGACCTTTACGAGACGTGGATTTCCCTCTTTGATCGCCGAACCATTGAACAACCACGTTATTGTTGGATTAGGCAAGGCCGCGACTGGACATAAGATATCTATGTCTGTTCCGATGACAGTGGTTAAGTTATCACCAATCGTAATCTGTAGTTGCTTTTCACCGCTTATTGCTATAATATTTTCCCCTGAGCTTGTGATTTTAGGTGCATTGCCATCTTTTCAAAGAATAAAAAAGTAGCATTAGCAATAAAAAAGAATTAAAAGTAAAAGCATTGCCCCAGGAAGGTATCATACAGTAGCTAAAAATCGTAGCCAATCTCATTAAAAGCTTAGTATATGACAGGAATTGCATCATGGATCAATTAAGCTGGTTCATACTTTCTTTTGAGTGAGGTTGGTTTTATTGGTTCTTCTCTACGACTTTCCATTCGTAGAGCGATAACAGTATGTGTATGTATTGCATATCAAAAGCAGCAGTATAAACCAGTAAATACAAAGATAAAATAAACAGGTCCATTGTTCAACCAGCGGATTAATTATTAACTAAATATTTAGTCTTCAAGTAAGCGAACATCAACATTATTAACGGTCCTTCACAGCTGCAATTGAACGATCAAGTAGTGAGTAGGACATAATCTACTGTTTCTTTTCGACTGGAAGGACAGCGTGACATCTCTATCAAAGATTATTCCTGGAAATTAGAGTATGCCAGTATGGTTGGTCCCTCAGCCGGGCCAGGGGACGATAGAAAGGCAAAGTTTATTTACCTAAGACAACAATCTGTATGTCCTCTTTATCAGTTCCATCGATGTTGGAGGCAACGCATTGGTATGATCCGGAATCCGAAGCACTAAGTGACTTTAATATGTACAATGAGCCTTCAACATTTAATGGGACGCTGTCCTTACTCCAGATAATTTTGGGGGTGGGTACTCCTTTAGTGTTACACCTTAAGAATAACCCGTTACCGGCCACTGTCGTCACAATCGAACCAACGTCTACCGTGAATGAACCACTGTTAAGGATCTGTAAAGGCTGGCTAACTCTTGAGATCAATGGTGTGGAGGTTTCTGAAAGTATTGTCGGCGAATATGAATTCATTGGCAATATCGGAATTTACTCAAAATGAATAAAGCTTGGTTTTTGACTAGGTACCGTCTATTCAGCTAAATGGAAAATATTCACACATTCAGTTAGTCATTACCCTGAAAAAAATCAAGGATCTTTTAAAATGAGTTTTATGAAAAAATGTTGTCGTATTATCCATAGTAAAAGAACACAATGCAAAGGAACATTTACGACACAAAGCAAACAACATTTGTTTACAAAGAACATAGTCAAGAATGCGTTAGAAAATCACAGGCGCAAGATACAATTTTGATTAGCTGACGGGTGGTACGGTGATTATTGAACTTTGAGAATGACCTACCAAGTACAGTCACATTGGAGTTGGCGGTAACATCTCCAGCAAGATTGACCGCTTTGCAAAGGTAAATGCCGGTATCAGTATTTGTCACACGTAAGATAGTTAGAACCGAGTCCTTGATAACAACTCGCCCATTCGTGTCCAAGTCTTTATTTTGTCGACTCCAGGTAACGACTGGCTCAGGTATACCATAAACAGGGCATGCAATGGACAAATTTGTTCCGTTCAGAACAGAAAGTGTTTGACCAATGGTGATAAAAGCAGGATCTCGACTGTCCAGAGATTGTACCGGCACACGGGACACATTAATCTGAGGAGCTCCAGGAACTTCAATATCAGAAAAAAGAAGTACTAATTAGTGTTATCAGTCACATTTCATAAAGGGCAGGAAACGCATTTAAAGGGATTTAATTCGATAGTTGGTTGGGGAAGGGTTCATTCAATCACCTTGCGAAGAAATTAAAACAGCCTCTTTTGATTCAACGTATGCAGGCTCTGATCTTGATTGAAGAAAAGACATTAAACAGGAGTCGATATATCTACGGAGGCTTTTTACAGGCATGAATGAAATCAGTTTATCGCTAGTCTAAAGTCACTCACGTTACAAATAGTACACTCATACCGAGAACAGCGATGAAAGACGAAGCGTACACTGATCCTAATTCATTACTGGCTTTGCAAGAGAATCTTCCTCCCTTCCGATGTGATATGCTGAGTGTAAATAGTGTTCCTGTTTCTTCGTCCACGTTAAGCATCATTCCAGGTTCTACAGGGTCACCCTCTCTGAACCACTGAATGGAAGGCTTAGGAAATCCACTGGCGGGACAAATGATTTCTAGACCTGAGCTCGCCAGGGTAGTAAGGTTAGTTCCAATGGTTATTGCGTAGAAATCGATTCTCAGATGGACCAGACTTCTATTCAAGGAGTCAATTGTAGGAGCCTTTCCAGCTATGAGATTAGTGAAAATGACAACTTACTATGTGATACAGGTATTCAACCGCTCTAACGAAATTGACTGTAGCGTATTGTAATGACACTTTCATCAGCTAGGCCTTTTGGAAGTCGTTTGGAACCCTTAAAACAGAGCTATGCCGTGCCGGCTTGTTCAAATCTGGGTTAAGATGACCCAGGGTTAGCGTGAAATCTGATTTCAGATCTGTAAGCTTTTAAAGAGTTCAGTACAATTTTATTTAGTCTACAATTTGGTGATTGGATGCTCTAAAAAGAATAGAGAAAATTATCAGCTGAAGGTGTATGAACAAAGGAACAAAGAAAACCGGATTAAAATTCAACACTGGGTTAACGATAATCGGCCTTTGAATAACTGGGACTCGAACTTTTCACGTCACGGTTTATCCTCCAGCGAAAAAGTGTGGCCTTCAAATTAGTTAAATCTTAATTTCAAATTTTTCATAGTCTTGATAAATTGAAACTCCAATATAAAATTCGAAGACTTTAGATGATATCCAATTGCACGGCAGTTTATATGCGAGCTTTTGAGAAGTTCATTCATGTCGATGGTTTTATCTTTTAACAGGATCAAACACTAATATGAAGACGACGGTGTTTTAAGTCATTAGCTTTGTTACAAGAAAGAAGTATCAAACTGTTTCAATGTTGCAGCAGTTTAAACTACGTACCAAGTACTTGAAGTTGTGTCGTCGCTTTGACTTCGCCGCCGACATTTTTGGCAACACAAGTGTATCGTCCACTATCCTTCGGAGTAACACTCTCTATTGTGTAAAACACTCCCCCTTTTTGAAGTTCAACTTCGTCTCTTTCCCACGTAATTTCTGGGCTTGGAACTCCGGTAACCTGGCAGACGATACTCACTTTGTTTCTGTCCAACGTAGTTACCTTACCTCCAATGGTAACGGACACGTTTGTCATCTTTAGCAACTCTACGTTGGCATCGTTAATTGTTATTTTGGGAACTTGAAGAGCTAAGAACATAAAACGAGGAAGATCTCTTAGGATTAAAACATTTGAACACAATAACATGGACCAAAATTTCTGAGGAAGATGATTTCCTTTCTTTTGCTACCGAAATGACAAGAGAAAAATTACTTAAGAGCTACTTAGGATATGATTAGAAATTTTGAAAAACCTTGAAATAAGGATTAGGCCGATGAATAAAGACGAAAATATTTAAACAGAAATACATTTTTTATCGTTTAAATAAGGGCTGATCAAAGTATTAAATACCGAGCACCCGAAGTACTATGAGCAAAAGAAACGAGGATAAGCAAAACCGTGGACTCACAACAACTCTTTGTTTAATCACTATAAAAAAGAGAGTACTTTGTCTTCCTTCTTGAACAGTTTCCATAGTTACACTGTGGAGTGGATAAATACCTACCTATAACCGTTAAGTTCGTACTCTGTGAGTCTACCTGTCCTAGGGGACTTGTAGCTGTGCATGTATAAACACTAGTGTCGTCAACGTCAACAGATAAAAGGCGTAAGACCGATCCATCTGCTCCCAGTACGGCACCATCTTTTGCCCATTCAATGGAAGGAGGTGGAAAGCCCGTCACGTCGCAAGTCAATGACAAATTGTTACCACTAATTGTAAGAACTGTGCTTCCAACAACTGCCTTTTCGGATTTAGGCTCAAGGACCTGAAGATCTTTAATACCTGTTTGAGTGATTTCTGGCGGTGTAGGCACTAAAAACAACAAAGAAGACAACAAAAAATTTAAAAAATTCGATGGTGAAGAAGTAAAGGCACCAACCTCAATTTTCCTGGACATTTAGCACTTCGGCCCAGCTGAGCGAAAATATTGGAAATATCGGCTTATTTTCCTGTAACTGACGCTCACGATTTGAGGTAGGGAAACAAAGCCCTTCACAGCCTTTGAAAATAGACTATAAAGAGCAGCTTGTAACAATGGATCTGAGAGGTATTATTTGAATCAATGTTTGATTCGCTCTAAAATAAGTGAGTCCTCGAGAGACCAGCATCCTTCTTCTGCCTTTGGGTGTGAACGAGTCCCTTCGCAAGAATTTCGGCCTCACCTGCAACTGTCACGATTGAGGATTCTAATGCTATTCCTGCAGAATTTTGTGCTGAGCACGTATAGTTTCCGCTGTCAGAAGTTTCTAGTTTTACGATGAGAAGAGTGCCGTTTTTAACATTCATTCGGCCGTCAGAAGGAAGGGACTGATTTCCTCTGGCCCAGGTAACCTTTGGTATAGGAATGCCTTTTGCGGCACAATGAATGGACAACACAGTATCGACTAACGTGACCAGATGTTGTCCAATGGTAATGTTGACAGGTTTTTCACTGAACCAAGCTACATCTCCTAAAGAATATGTTATCTGAGGGCTCACTGGATCTGAAATAGAAACATACATCGTTATTCAATCACCTTTGAATAAAATTTATAAAAATAAATATAACAAGTTAAGGCATCTTTAAATTATACAAAACCCAAATTTTTATAAAGCAAAACTACATCATTTAATGGTTGACAAGTGAAGTCAAGTGGCTCGCACAAGCCGTTCTCCTCTGCATGGGATGTACATCCATCGCAGGTTACTCTAAGCATTTCGTAAAGTTTCTGTAGCAGTTAGCTGGAAAGAGAGAGGAACTGCGAGAATATGTCTTGTTCGTGAACTTAACACAGAGACCTGATCAGGGCCCGACAATTAACATCTCGACTTGGATTCCAACGCGCTAAGCATTAGGTCATCCCGCTTCGCAGATGTAGACTTTAAACCCAGTAAACTTCGTATCGCTCTTAGAGAGAAACCCCAAGTGTGAAATGTTGGATCAATTAATACTACATTAAGGGACTACTCAATAATGGCACAAAGTAGGCAGCATTCATTACCAATTATATTCACTGTAGAAGATAACTTATGCGTTCCAAAGAAATTTTGGACACGACAAGTGTACGTTGCGATATCAGCCTTGGTCGCTCTTCTGATAACCAACGAGTTGTTAAAGGGCATAAATGTAAATCTGCCACCTTCTAAAATCAGTACTCCATCTTTCTCCCAGGTAACAGTTGGTGGCGGTACTCCTCTAACCGGACACCTGATGGTGATGGTTGTGTTTGAAGCTACTGTCACGTTATCACCAACTTTTATAACCACTGGAGTGCCATCACCAACAGGAATCTCCTGAGAAGTCTTGTTGATTTCAATCCCAGGCTTTATAGGATCTGCATAATAAGATGGTAACATGCACCGTAAACAAAGCAAGTGGGAACCAAAGTAAAAACTTAGATGCGACCCGACAAACTGCTTTGGTTCGCTGACTTACAATGATAAAGGTTACCTCGTGTTCTTATCACTGTCACTCATTGGCCGAATATTTGAGCAAAACATTTTGAAGACAGACTCGACGATTGCAAGTACATGGGCCGTAAAAAGACAAATAAGGAATTAACCTCAAGCAAGTTATAATTACAAAAAGAACAAGGTTGATTTAATAATAACGTCCTCTCAACACAACGTAGGCTAAAAAAACCATACTTGATATTTTACCTACAATCCGCACCGTGCTTGACGCGCTGTCTGTACCAGCAGCATTATCGACAGTACACGTATATCGAGTGGAGTCCTCGTGGGCAGCTCCATTGATCACCAATAAGCCATCATCCTTAACTGTGTAACTACCTTTACTGTTTACAACTTTACCATCTTTGCTCCACGTGACAGTTGGTGCTGGAACGCCACTGGCATGACACTGAATGGTAATGTTCGTATTGGTAAGTGCTGTCACATTATCACCAATGACTATGGTAATAGGTTTTCGGTCTTGAGTTTCTATCGTCTTGGGCGTCGTAGGAGTCCTTATTTTGGGCTTAGAGGGTCCTATGGAAGCAATTTAAGAGAAGGCACACACACAGGACAGTCACAAAACCACTATTGAACGCTCATGCTACTTATTGGAATTGTAATCAATGAAACAATTTTGGTCCTGTATTGTTTCTGTTACGTTCATTTAAATGAGAAAGAAGAGAAAAGCATTTTTAAATTTTTTTCTTTCATTTAAGGCGCCATCTTCACCGAAGATACAGTGTGTTAGAATAGACGCCACATTCAAGTCGCACTTTTTAGGGAAGGGGTTCGACTGCTGGCGATGAAAGAAAACAGCGGTCTACATGACAAAAAGTCGAAGACTTTGCCTATCACTTTAGTTTTTACATCTCTAACGTAAAAGAATTTTGAAAGCTGTCTAAAAATGCCATGACTTATAAACACTAACCCAAAATTCTGACGATGGAGGATAAGCTCTCTTCGCCGAAGCCGTTTTTAACTTTGCAAATGTATCTTCCACTGTTTTCTTCTTTAGACTCTCTGATGATCAATAAGCTCTCATTGACGATAAAAATATTCTCTTCCGATGTCAGTGTAAGTCCTTCTTTCTCCCAGGTAACAGCTGGTGTTGGTACACCACTAACTGGACATCTGATTGTGATGGTAGTATTTGAAGCTGCTGTCACGTTATCACCGATATTCATAGTTACCGGACTGCCATCACCAACAGGGATTTCTTTCCCGGTTTCTGAGACTTCTACGATTGGTTTTCTTGGCACTAGAGAAAAAAACAACAAAGCACAATTAAAATGAGTCTTCCTTGATTTTAGGGCGTCGTAATCAGATACCGGTTAATAAGCTGGAGAAGAAGATTGTCAGGGAATCTGCCAGCTGTTAGACCTTTTAGAGCTACAAGAGAATATAAGGGGATAAGAAGGGAAAATCAGGGTGTCAGAACACTTAGCCCACTATCTTTTCCAAAATTATGACCCTAGCCTTAGGTTATATGTTATGAAGGTTTGCATGAGGAAAAACGGCTTCTAATTATTGGTCGATCTGAAAAAAAAATTAGACGTCGCAACTCATTGCTCCACAGTTTGTTTTCCATTTAAACACAGTCATAAGGTAACCCTGCTATGGTCACACCGTTGTAACAAAAAACCTGGATATTTGAGATGGTGAGAGAAACGTTTGACTAATTCGAACGGTCATGAATGTGGTTGCACACAACATTTCACTCAGTATATGAGATTAGATTGATATAAGCTCTATAGCAGACGCCTCGGAAGACATACTTCCGCTCGAGAGACTGTCTATAGATAAACTAAAAGAAATAAAAATATTCTTAGGCATGGACCTGGAGCTATCCTCTCTGCCCCTTTATGTTCTCTTGATGCCGCAAATCAACATCAATTCAATTTTTATCACTTTCCATTTAAAATAAATGTGATCTGTCAGTGTCAAATCGCCTGGTTACTAGTAACTTATTCAAATATATTTTTGCTTCATTTCGTTTGCTTTTTCTGAGTTTATAAAAGTACAGAATGACGAAGGATGCGGCCGAGCTACCATAAACGAAAACTGTGTTTTAACCAAGGTTATCTCCTCACCAACAACCTGCACCTTGCTTGATGCACTATCTGTGCCAGCAACACTTTCTGCAGTGCACGTGTATCGAGCGGAATCCTCTATCCTAGTCCCAATGATTAAAAGCAACGAGCCATCGACCTGAACTGTATATCTGTCCCCACTGGAAAGTTTCTTATTGTCCTTTGACCACGTGACTGACGGTTTTGGTGCGCCACTGGCCTGACATTGAATAGTTATATTTGTATTGGCAAGTGCTGTCACATTATCCCCTATGGTTATAGTGACTGGACTCGAGTCTTGAGCTTCTATCGTCTCTGACACATCAGATATATTTATAGTTGGCTTGGACTGTGCTAAAAAGCAGAAATTCGATAATATTCAACCAGATATAAAGTAAGATAACACAACACCTTTAGCGCAGTTTAAAGACATTTCCCTAAACACGCTCACTTCATCATTGATGGAACACAACATTTGCCCAGAAGTTACAAATGAGCCAGATCTAACCACCTATCTTAAAGAGAATAAACTTGAAGTGTTTTGATGTCACGGTAGGATATTAAAAGAATCAAAAAAATTGAAAACAACCAGAACTGACGATGGCTACTTACAGATTTCCGAAAAAAACGTTTTATTTCATCCAATCTTAGAACATGACTATTTGCCACAACATACCTATAATCAGCACAGTAGAGGAGGTATTGTCTTTTCCGAACTCACTCTGAACAGTGCACGTATACTTTGAGCTGTCTTGAGATATCGCTCCTTTAATGACCAGAGTGTTGTCATAAGCAATCGAAAACCTGCTTCCTTCAGTGATTTGAATACCATTCCTTTGCCAAGTAACAGAGGGCTTCGGCACTCCACTAACTGGACACCTGATTGTGATGGTAGTGTTCGAAGCTGCTGTCACGTTATCACCAACGTTCATCTTCACTAGACTGCCATCACCCATTAGAATGTCCCGTCCGACATCAGGGACATTGATTACTGGTTTGGTTGGTTCTGTATGTATCCAATAATACTAATTGTAACTATCAGATTTGCTCACGAGTACACTACGTTGCGATATTTAATAAACAGCTGACTTTTCGAAGGATGCGGCCGAACTGATGTTTTACGAACTGATTAGTACACCATGGTCAATTTATGAAATAGTAATCTTTCCCAAGCTTGAAACCCAAATACTTACCAACAATCCGCACTGTACTTGACGCACTGTCTTTACCAGCAACACTTTCTGCTATGCAGTTATACCGAGCAATGTATTTTTGTGACGTTTTACTGATTAGCAGTGACCCGTCATCCTGAATTTTGTACTTCTCTCCACTTGAAATACTGTGACTATCTATGGTCCACGTGACTGTTGGTGTTGGTGCACCACTGGCGTTACACTGAATGGTGATATTCGTGTCGGTGAGTGCTGTCACGTTATTACCAATGATTATGGTAAGAGGTTTTCTATCATGAGATTCTGCTGTCTTCGGTACATCAGAAATTTTAATTTTCGGCTTAGAATGACCTAGAAGAAAATTGAGCCAGTAAGAGAGATACAATGATTTTCCACAGTTATTTTGGAACAACGGACAAACTGACTGATCCTTTATGATACCATCAGACATCATCAGCAAGAGAAAATAGATTTGACGACATGTTTTATTCTTCTGTATTATCATTCGAGTTAAATTTGTTCGCATTTTAGTTCCTCTTCTATCATGCCAAAGATTAAGAATTGCTATTTCTTTAACCTCTGATGCCTGTTTGTACAAGAAGAACAGGCATCAGAAAATATAAATAAAAATTACTGGTAACCAAAATTGATAGCTCGACACCCACCTACAATAGTTACCACAGAAGACAACTTATTCATTCCAGCCACACTTAAAACTCGGCAAGTGTATTTTCCACCATCTTCTGCTTCTGTCCCTCTAATAACCAAGGAGTTTACCTTCTCCACTGAAATATTTTTTTCGCTAAAAAGTAAGACTCCATTCTTCTCCCACGTAACCGTTGGTGTTGGTATTCCACTAACTGGACACCTGATGGTAATGGTTGTATTTGAAGCCGCTGTTACGTTATCACCAACGTTAATCATTACAGGGCTGCCATCACCCATAGGGATCTCACGTCCAATTTCAGGGACGTCGAACACCGGCTTGGTTGGCACTGTTAATTTAAAGAAGAAAAAAAACAGAAATTTTTTGGTACAACATTCTCAGACGATCGACGCATTGACCCAATTTCTAACACCCGGCGACTGAGCCCATGCTTTTACCCGTGAAAAAGGTTAAGAATAACATGCAGCCTAATCCCTTGCGGGTCGGCGTGCTCACTCACTCACTCACGCCCATTATGCCGTGTGGCACTTAGGGCGGTTTTTTTTTTTTTTGCCGTTTCCGTAACATGGGTGTTTTACGGGACAATGTTGTTAGCCCTGTGCCCACACCCTTAACCTGGAGGACCGGTGGATCGCGCTTCGTCGGACTTTGAGTGGCCCTACCAGGAGACGAAGCTCCCGCCTGCATAGCTCTAGGGGTCTCCAAGGCACTCAAGCCCACCGACCACGACAAGGTGGCGATCCTTCGGGGGAGGGTCGGCTTGCGTGAAAACGTTAATTCCAGCTTCTGTACTCTCGAAAACATCACAAAAAGCATCAGTACAGTTCGAAAATGCTACTTTTTTTCTGACCGGCTTCCTGGGACAGTTCTGAACATTACCTACCAAAAATCTCCACCATGCTTGACGCGCTATCTTGACCTGATGCGCTGACTGCGGTGCACGTGTATCGATTAGCGCTTTCTTTGACCTTCTTTATGATCAGCAATGAGCCATTATCCATAGTTTTGTACTGTTGATCGCTAAAAATTGTCTGCCCATCTTTTGTCCACGTAATGGATGGTGTTGGTACACCGCTTGCGTCACAACGAATAACGATCCTTGTATTGGTAAGTGCTGTCACATTATCACCTATGTTTACGGTGATGGGATTTCGATCTTTAGCTTCTACAGATTTTGGGTCACCACGAATATTAATTTGGGGCTTGATAGGCTCTGTAAAATGAACAGTTCATTGCACCATTACGTAACACATACTTTACTCACATGCAGTATTTGAAAAACGTTAAACATTAATTTACAAAATATTTTACCAAAGAAAAAAGAAACTACCCTTTTCCCCCACTGACTTACCTAATATTCTGATGGAGGAAGAACTTTCGTCTATTCCAAATTCACTTTTTACCCTACATGTGTACTTGGCGCTATCGTCTACTCCTGTTTCTTTAATAACCAGACTGTTATTATGTGTAATCAAAAGCTTATCTCCCGAGATAATTTCTAATCCATTCTTCTCCCACGTAATAGTTGGTGTTGGTACTCCACTAACTGGACACTTGATGGTGATGGTTGTGTTTGAAGCTGATGTCACGTTATCACCAACTTTTATCGTCACTGGACTGCCATCACCGACAGGAATCACTTGTCCGGTTTCGGGAACTGTAATCATAGGCTTGACCGGTTCTGTGAGGTAAAAAGATGATCCAACAGGTTCGCAGTACACTCAAAGTTCACAAAAACAAATGAAAAGCGTTTGCGACACAGAAGACCAGGTAGTTAAGCAATGAAATTAAAACTAGTTAATGTGACACATTTCTGCAACCCTACCAACAACCACCACCGAGCTTGATGCACTGTCTTGGCCAGCAACATTGACTGCGGTGCACGTGTAACGAACAGTATCCACCTTTTCAGCTACTTTGACCAACAATGAACCATCCTCCTGTACTATGTATCCTCCTTCTTCACTTAGGATTTTCTGATTTTCTGTTGACCAAGTGACGGTTGGTGTTGGAACACCACTAGCGCGACACTTAATGGTAATTCTTGTGTTGGTAAACGCTGTCACGTTATTGCCAACGCCGAGAGTGATGGGATTTCTGTCGAGGGCATCTATGGTTTGTGGTTTTGCGGGAACGTCGACTTTTGGCTTGGAAAGACCTAAATATTAAGGTAAGGTTTTTCATTGAGTGAAGGAGGCAATAAGAAAAGAGCAACATATTAATGGTTTTGGGGAAAAAAGAGAGCAAGAGTTACCCATTCTCCATTTTTTCAACCCAACAAGGAGAAAACACACAATGGGTCCTGATCACTAATGCACTCAAAATATTTTTGTAAAAGAATCCTCCTAAATGGTGCAAGTTCCAATCTGATAAAGAGTTCGGCATTTTCCAATATGCACTATTTCCATATCTCACCAACAATCTGCACTGTGCTTGATGCGCTGTCTTTACCGATTACACTAACTGCGGTGCACGTGTATCGGGTCCTGCCTTTTCCTTTCGTATTCTTGATCAGCAGTGAATTATCGGTTCCAATCGTATATATGTCTCCATTGGAGATTTTCTGCCCATCTTTTGTCCAGGTAGTGGTTGGTGTTGGTACGCCACTGGCATGACACTGAATTGTTATGCTAGTATTGGTAAGTGCTGTCACATTGTTACCAATTCTGATCGTAACTGGCTTTTGGTTCTGAAGTTCTACCGTTGTTGGTTTTGCAGGAATCTTTACTTTTGGTTTGGAGGGCCCTGTGTAAGAAGATAGATAAGGTTTGGAAAGGCGAAAAGAACTCGCTTCGAGAAAGAATTTTTATATCTGCTCCACAGAACTTAGAACTCCGATACCAAGTCACGAGCCTTATAAACTTCACTCAAAAAGTGTACCAGTTAAATTATTAAGCTCTGAAAATCAAATATTCAAAAAGAAAATAGCTTCCTTCCCATTTAATATGACAAGTAGAAATTAATTGCGCGTGCTTACGACTAGTCTGAGAAAATCGAACGGGATTGCAATAATTCGTCCTTTCAAGCCCACAACTACAACACACACCTATTATGGTGATTTCAGAGGAGGAATTGTCCATTCCAGCAACATTTACAATTCTACAAGTGTATCGTCCAATGTCTTCCGCCTCCGCTCTTGTTATTACTAGAGATTTGTCATCTGTAGTGAAAACATCCCTTCCTTCAATAATAGGTGCTCCCTCTTTCAGCCACGTAACAGCCGGTGTTGGTACTCCACTAACAGGACACCTGATAGTGATGGTAGTGTTTGAAGCTGCTGTCAAGTTATCACCAACGTTCATGGTTACTGGACTGCCATCACCAATGGGGATGTTTTGCCCGGCTTCGAGGACTTCAATTATCGGTTTTGATGGTTCTGTGGAAGGTTCACATTTTATTTAAAAGCAAAAAAGGAATGTTCTGTCTTAAAGTTAATGAAAAGTAGTATCAACGAAACTACTGGTTTTACTTAAAAACGAAAAGAAACATAAATAGTGATTTTATTCATTAGTGTGCGTGATGTGAGTTTTACAAAGCTCTTGGTCACTCACCAACGAGTAGTACCGTGCTTGATGCGCTGACTTCACCAGTTACACTTTTTGCAGTGCATGTGTACCGGGCAGTGCCTATTTCGTAAAGCTCGCGAATTCGTAACGAGTCGTTAGCCTGAATCGTGTAGATTTCACTACTTGTGATCCTCAGATCATCTTTTGTCCAAGTGACCGTTGGTGTTGGTACACCTTCTGCACGACACTTAATTGTAATAGTTGTGTTGGTGAGTGCTGTCACGTTATTACCAATCTCCAGAAAGATAGGACTTCTGTCCCTCACTTCAATCATCTTTGGTTCACTCGGAATCCTAATGACGGGATGTAAACGTTCTACGAAATAAAACGTGTAGCAGTTTAAGCTGAATACTTAATTAGCTAAATATACAATCTGAAATATTAGATCAGTAAACAGATGTCACTTTCTCCCTCGCGTTCAAGGTCTTTAAGAACACTGAAGTGACTTACACTAGTCGTCAAAATAACTACACTGGTCATATTTACAATTTAATTTGACTTAATATTGCGTAATAATCGGCATAGCAAATTTCTTCCAAATATGATGTTCGAATCGAGAGAGGACGAGAACATCGTTCATAACAGATATCACGAGTCTAGTTATGATCCAATATTCAAAACATTTCGAAAAGAAATAGTTTATAACATTCCTAATTGATCTGAGATGAGAAACATGTTTGACTTCAGAAATCTCGTTCCTTCGTTTTGCGAGAGTCTGCTTCTCGTTAAGAAAAGTAAGTAGCTGGCAGTTTTTCTATGAAATAATTTACCTATTATCTGAACAATCGAAGAAATTTCATCTGTGCCAAATTCACTTTTTGCCATACATGTATATTTTGCAATGTGCTCAGCTTCTAAACCCTTCAGGACCAAATGGTAATCGCTTGTGATGGAGAAAGCCTCTCCTTCGACAATTGGTACATCATCCTTGAGCCAATTGACTTTTGGTGTTGGCACTCCACTAATTGGACACCTGATGGTGATGTTTGTATATGAAGCTGCTGTCACGTTATCACCAACTTTTATTGTCACTGGGCTGCCATCACCGACAGGAATCACTTTTCCAGTTTCGGGAACTATAATCACAGGTTTGACAGGTTCTGTGTGGTAAAAGATTTTCCAATAAGTTTAGTATTACAAATGGAACGCGTTCGCAGCACAAGAGACCGACTATTAATGCAATGTAATTAAAACTAGTAAATGTAACACATTTGTGCAATTTACCAACAACTTCCACTGTGCTTGATGCACTGTCTTGGCCGGCAACATTTGTTGCAGTGCACGTGTACCGGACAGTTTCCCCTTTTTTAAAAACTCTGATCAATAATGAACCATCTTTCTGTTGTATTTTGTTTCCATCGTCACTGTTCATTTTCTGATTATCATTTGACCAAACGACGGTTGGTTTTGGAACACCACTAGCGCGACACTCGATGGTAATTCTTGTGTTGGTAAGCGCTGTTACGTTATTACCAACGCCAAGAGTAATGGGATTTCTGTCGTGGGCTTCTATGGTTTGAGTTTTTGCAGGAACGTCGACTTTTGGTTTGGAAAGCCCTAAAAATCAAGGTAATGTTTTTCATTAAGCAAAGGAGGCAACAGAAAAAGGAAAACACTTTAGTGGTTGCTATTCCTGTCCTAATTTGACGGGAAAAAAACCGACAGTAAGAGCTATACATTCTCTTTAGTCTTCAATTCGACGAGGGGAAGCACCAGGCACATGGTGTAAGTTCCCGCCTGATCGTTCGTTGGCATTTGTTATACATGCATTATTTCCATACACACCTACAACCTGCACTGTACTTGATGCGCTGTCTTCGCCGATTACACTAACTGCTGTGCACGTGTATCGGGCCCTGCCTACGTCTTTTGTATCCTTGATCAGCATTGAGTTATCGGTTCCAATCGTATATATGTCTCCACTGGAGATTTTCTGCCCATCTTTTGTCCACGTAACGGTTGGTGTTGGTACGCCACTGGCATGACACTGAATCGTAATGCTAGTATTGGTAAGTGCTGTCACATTATCACCAATTCTGATAACAAATGGCTTTTGGTCCTGAAGTTCCACCGTTACTGGTTTTGCAGGTATCCTTACTTTTGGTTTAGAGGGGCCTGCACAAAAAAGATAGATAATTTTCGGATAAGGAGAGAGAAAAGGCTTGCTTTGAGAAAAAGTACCTGCTCCACAGAACTTAGAACTCCAATAGAAAGATACAAGCTTTATAAACTCTTAAAGGAAAAAGGTGCTGGCCTAATACCGAGCTCTGACAAAAGGAAAGCTTCGTTCACATATTAAATTTGCTTGCGAATTCTTACGACCGGTCTGAGAAAATCCAATGTGATAGCAAGACTTCACCCCTTCAAGCCCACAACTACAACACACACCTATTATGGTGATATCAGAGGAAGAATTATCCATTCCAGCAACATTTACAGCTTTACAAGAGTATCTTCCATTGTCGTCCGAGTCTGCTCTTGTTATTACTAGAGATTTGTCATCTGTGGTGGAAACATCCCTTCCTTCAATAATAGGAGCTCCCTCTTTCAGCCAGATAACAGCTGGTGTTGGTACTCCACTAACAGGACACCTGATGGTGATGGTAATGTTTGAAGCTGCTGTCAAGTTATCACCGACATTCATGGTTACTGGACTGCCATCACCAATAGGGATGTTTTTGCCGACTTCAAGGACTTCAATTTTCGGTTTTGATGGTTCTGTGGATGGTTCATATTTTATTTGAAATATGGTGGCTGTTCTTATTGTAAAGTTAATTGGTTTAACTTATCATCATTACTTAAGTCACTTACCAACAATGAGAACCGTGCTGGATGCACTGACTTTACCAATTACACTTTTTGCAGAGCAGGTGTATCGGGCAGTGCCTATTTCGTAAAGCTCACGAATTCGTAACGAGTCATCAGCCAGAAGCATGTAGATTTCGTTATTTGTGATCCTTAAGCCATCTTTTGTCCAAGTGACTGTCGGTGTTGGTACACCGTTTACATGACACTTAATGATAATACTTGTGTTGGTAAGTGCTGTCACATTATTACCAATCTCCAAAAGGATAGGACTTGTGTCCTTCACTTCAACCATCTTTGGTTTACTTGGAATCCTAATGACAGGCTGTGAACGTTCTACGAAATAAAATGTGTATTGTTTTTCCAAACTGCACGAAAGATGTGGAAGAGTGTGAATTCATTCAATTTAGTGCTTTGATCAGCAAACGTACTACATGGATTTTTGAGCTTAATACTTAATTAACTAGATATTACACCTATAAACTGATTGCGTCACTTTTTCTCACGTACCGGCTTTCTGGTAGCACTGAAATGGAATTAACCTGGACTTACGCAAGTTGCCAAATAACTACACTTGTCATACTTACAATTTCATTTTACTTTTATTGGCGCAAAAAACTGCAAGGCAACTTTCTTCCAAATATGGTAACAGAAAATAGACAGGACGAGAAAATCACTTCATAAAAAATGACTATTATAGTTATGATCCAATACTTGAAACATCTAAATCAGCGAAAAGTTCTGTAGATAACGCTTAAGTGCCTTATCTCTTACATGTGAAGTGAGCAGCAAGATCAATCAGCAACAGAGACAGCTTTTTCGTTTACTAAAACTTTGAACAGCAAAGGATCAGTACAAAGCACTCTTGATTGTTCCAGGACGAGAAAACGTGTTTCGAGACTACAGAAAACTGTTCGCTTGTTTTCCGAGAGTGTGCCACTCGTTAAAAAAATTACCTACGTATTACTTTTTCTATGTAATCATTTACCTAGTATCTGAACAACTGAAGAAGTTTCATCCGTGCCAAATTCGCTTTGTGCGATACATGTATACTTGGCAATGTGCCCTGCTTCTAAACCATTCAGGACCAAACGGTAATCGCTCGTGATGGAAAACGCCTCTTCGACAATCGGCACGTTGTCCTTACGCCAAGTTACAGTTGGCGTTGGTACTCCACTAATCGGACACCTGATGGTGATGGTTGTGTTTGAAACTGCTGTTACGTTATCACCGACGTCCATTATCACTGGACTGCCATCACCAACGGGAATCACCCGACCAGTCCCAGAGACCGCGATCATTGGTTTCTCAGGCTCTGTTTGCATTAGTAACACGACAACACATTTTATTACTCGAAATACAATTAAATAAAGGAATTAATATAAGTGACAGAAAACGATTTTCTGGAAAAAAAGAATTAAATTATAGCTTGTGATCGCTTAATAATGCTACAATACATCTATAGAAGCTTTGTCTAATTTTCTTACCAATAATCTGAACCGTGCTGACTGTGCTGTCTTCACCGGCAACATTATTTGCAGTACAAATGTATCGGGCGGCCTCTTGTTTGTCAGATTTATTGATGAGCAACGAGCCATCGTCTTGAACAGTGTACCTACCACTGCCGGAAAGTTTCTGCCCATCTTTTTCCCACGTGATATTTGGCTTTGGTACACCACTAGCGTGACAATGAATGGTAATGCTTGTATTGGTAAGTGCCGTCAGGTTATAACCAATGTTGATGATTACGGGTCTTTGGTCTTTCACTTCTATTGCCCTTGGCTCACCAGGGATAGCGATGACAGGTTTTGATAGCTCTGTCAAAGGATAAGAGCATTGTTAAATCAGATTTTACTTTCACCAACAATGATGATTTTCTTTCATGAAAGTTTCATTCACACATTTTTTCCTGCGAGTCTCAGTAGACAAACCAACCCATTTTGACTTGCTAGAGGCGCAGTTATGGATGAGAGAAGAAAAAGAGTTAAATTATTTTCATTCGCAATAAAGCCCATCAGGTACCAGGTCAAATGAAGAAGGAAACTTAAGTTACCTATAATCATGACATAAGAGGAGGTTTCATCCATTCCAAATTTGCTTTGAGCAATACAAGTGTATTTGGCCCTTTCTTCAACCCACTCTCCTTCGATAACCAAAGATTTGTCATCTTTAATAGAATATCTGTCCCCCTCAGCAACGTGTGACCCATCTCTCTGCCAGGTAACAGTTGCTTTTGGTATTCCGCTAACAGGACACCGGATGGTAATGGTTGTGTTTGAAGCTATCGTCACGTTATCACCAACGTTCATGAACACCGGACTGCCATCACCAACAGGAATCTCCCGTCCAATTTGGGGGACCTCAATCTTTGGCTTCTTTGGTTCTGTGCAAATAAAAGAATTTTAAGGGGACTCAATTTTTTCCAATGTTCACTGATGCCGCGTGATACGACAGGTGTTAAAGGTCTTATTCAACCAGAGAACATATATGCATATTCATCGATAATGACAAGTTGATAGCACTATAAAAGAGGAATTCGTTCCTGGTTTCAGGGACCTCGATAATTGGTTTAATCGGTTCTGTTGATAAAAGAAACAAACTTGAGAAAGTGAAATAGTGCGGGTATGCTCGAAGGTAAGAAAACAAAGTTATTTAACTTTTGATATGGGTTTGTGGTATCGATAAAGGCAACTTTGAAGATCAATGGTTTTCCAAATGGAAGTAAGAAGTTCGTTTACCAACAACACGTATATAGCTGGATTCACTATCCTGGCCAGCAACGTTCACGGCAGTACACTTGTACTGAGCCTCATCTTCCTCCCTTGCTCCATCAATCAGTAACTCGCCGTTATCTTGAACTGTGTACCTTCCCCCTGTAGCTATTGTCTGACCAAATTTAGTCCACGTGACAATTGGCTTTGGTACACCACTGACATGACACAGTAAAGTGACACTTGAATCAGTAAGAGCTGTCGCGTTATCACCGATGGTCAAGGTAATGGGACTTCGGTCTTGAGCCTCTATGGCCTTTTGAGTAACAGAAACGCTTATCACAGGCTTGGAGTGTCCTAGCAAATGGAAGTGAACACATTTACTTTCGTTAACTCTGGAACATAAGTATGATAAATGTTTGAAGTCGTTTTTAACCATGCCTAGAGAGAAAAGGATTGAATCATAGGTTCTTTGAATTTTTGTTTCTTGTCTTTAGACTTCACGCTTTGTTTGAGAATCTGTTACGAACCGCATAGAGGAAGAATGAGGGCTTACCGACTATTCCGACAAAAGAGGAAACAACATCCTTCCCAAAGTTGTTCTGTGCAGTACATGTGTACTTTGCACTGTCTTGTACTTCAGCTGATTGAAACACAAGGGAGTTATCTGCAGCGATGTTTGTCTTCCTCCTTTCTTCAATTTCGACTCCGTTTTTCTTCCAGGTAACACGTGGTGTTGGTACTCCACTAACTGGACATCTGATGGTGACGGTTGTGTTTGAAGGTGCTGTTACGTTATCACCAACATTCATCATCACAGGGCTGCCATCACCTACTGGAATGTCCTCACCAGTTTTGGGTACATCAATCACTGGTCTTCTTGGTTCTGTGAGAATAACAATAAAGTTTTGAACATTCGTAAATCTGAAAAAATTAAACTCCCATTATGCAATGTCCACTGCAATCAGGAGTCAAAAAACGACGTTCTACAAAGGCTACCATTAGGCCATAACTGTACAAAGGATGCTACGTTTGTTAAAGAAAAGCTCACCCACTATCCGAACTGTGCTCTTCATAGCCTCTTCACCCACTATGTTTGTTGCGGTACACCTGTATTCTCCGCTGTCAAACTCTGTTGAGTACACAATCCGTAGGGAACCATCATTGTTAACTATTTTCGAGCTTCCCTCGTCATGAGATAATTTCTGTCCATCTTTCGTCCATGTCACAGTTGGTGTTGGCACACCACTGGCGTGACAAAGAACGACGATCGCTGTTTTTGTGAGTGCTGTCGCGTTATCCCCAATATTCAGAATGAGTGGACCTCGGTCTTGAGCTTCTATCATTTGTGGCTTATGTGCAATGTCGATCTTTGGTCTGACAAGCTCTGATGAAAAGATAACAAGAGACGATTGATACCATGGATGAAATAAAATCTCCATACATATTTTATTTAACAATATTTCAATCCATTACGTACTGGATCTACATTGACTGAATAACACTAACCTATTATTCGTACGCTGGAAAATACTTCATCTTTCCCAAACTCGCTTTCAGCAGTGCAGGTGTAATTACCACTGTCTTGTACCATCGGTTGTTTCATTATCAGACTGTTGTCATCCACGATTGAAATCAAATCATCTCCGATAATATTTACGCCATCTCTCTGCCAGCTAACGGTTGGTGTTGGTACTCCACTAACTGGACACCTGATTGTGATGGTAGTGTTTAAAGCTGCTGTTACGTTATCACCAACTTTCATAGTTATTAAACTGACATCATCAATAGGGAGCTCTTGTCCACGTTTGGGAACCTGAATGAGAGGTTTTGCCGGCTCTGTAAAACGAAAAGGCTGATCATGATTTGTGTGTTATGTCGATCAATGCGAATCGAGGCTTGTGTAAGTTTCCACCGCTATTCACTACCAGACGTGTAAGATACACTGGTAGTTTTTCTAATCCATGCGCGTTTTTAAACATGTATGAAGTACGATTTAGTCCTCTATTTTCCCACTATCATGACTTTTTTGCAAAGGAGATTTCTGAATGTCCATTTAAACCGGTTTATCTTTTTCAACTCGTGGGTAAAATTTCAGAGGATCATTCTTCGTAAGTTGACAACTCTATAAATAAAACTATGTAATGAAAACGTCGAGACCCACATCAGAAGAATTCACATCGTGTGACAAACGTAATTACAATCATTTTGTGCTTTACGAAAATGAACAACCAAAACTTTTTTAAATTATATCTTATGGCGCTATCAAAGAGAACCCTCATAGTCTTTATCAGGTGCTTACAAATAGTTAGTGTGTTCTTACTTACCAACAACTTGCAGTATGCTGGATGCACTATCTTGCCCATCAACGCCAACAGCGTTACATGTGTATCTAGCACCATCCCTTTCATCAGCCTCATGAAACACCAGTGACCCATCCCTTTGAACCTGATACCTGCCATCATTACGCAGTATTCTTCCATCTTTTGTCCAGGTGATACTTGGTCTCGGTACGCCGCTAGTTGGACAAGAAATAGTAATGTTTGTCTTGGTAAGGGCTATAAGGTCATCGCCGATGATTAGTACTTGGGAACTTCGGTTCTGTGCTTCGATAACTTTCTTCTCCTCGTTTACCATAATTTGCGGCTTGGAAGGCTCTGTGCAATAGAACGAGTCCATATATTAATAGTTGAACATTGAATGTGCACTTGACGGACCGCTACACTGACTTGACTTGACTTGATGACCTCTACACTGAGCAATTGCACGACGAATAATATTCCCAGTGTTATCTGTGATTTGGTTGATCCTTTTTTGTAGCATATAACGTTTTTAAATCTTACAAGAGAAGAACTCTGAGTCTCTAAATACTTGACTTGATGTCTTGTGTTAATGACTGAGAATTAAGCACAATTAAATAAAATGAATGATATATCGATCCGCGGATTATATCCAAGTAAAGGAGCGGTAATCCCACGCCATTTAAAGCAACTGCAGAAACGAAGCCTAAAAAAATTCATGTTTTAAAAGGATTAAAACCTGTACCTCCCAGATACTAATTGGGCGCTTTTACCAACTGAGCTACGAAGCTCAGAGAAGAAACATTTTGTCAACAGTCTCTGAGTCAATCAGAAAAGGAAATAACGAAGCTTGAAAAATTCATGCTTGGATGGGATTTAAACCTGTGCCTCCCAGACAGTAGTTGCGTGGTTTACTAACTGAGTTACGAAACTCAAAGAAGTAACATTTTATTAAGTCTTTGAGTCTATCAGAAACGTAAATAAGTTACTTTAATAACAGATTTGGCTGAGCATGCAATCATTAAGTAGTTTTAAAAGAAATACTCATAGCCTGGGGAAAAAGCTAAAACTTCTTTCGATTTAAAAATTAATTGAGATACTACTCGCATTCTGATCGGTAAAAACAACTATCGTCCATTGTATCGATAAAAGTTCCGCTGTTATAAAAAAGCAGCAGACCGAATTATCTATCGGTTTACCAACCTTATAACTCACTTGAGATCTTAATAGAACAGTCGAAAAGTCTGTACTGAAATTACTCGACTTTGTTTGGCTCGTGATTGACCAACTTTCCACTCATTCTCCTTCCATCCCGGGTGGGTTATTACTCGGAAAACCGAAAGAAAGTGTGATTTGCTGCTTAAGTTCTACAAGGCATTGTTTCCAAGAAATTTACCTTATTTGTTCCGAGTATTTGCACTCAGTTCATTTCAAGAGATGCTGCACATTAGGAAAGTGATTACTCACCAAGTACTGTAAAGTAACTCGACTTTGACGCTGTCCCTAAAATGTTGTCACCGGTACATGTCACGGTTTGCAGATTGACTCGAACAGGGTCGCCTACACTCAACGAAGTCTTGTTCACATTGCTAGAAATATGATTTCCATTCTGGTACCATTTGATGGCAGGCGTAGGTTCTCCTTGGACTTCACATAACACAGTGACAGTCGAGCCAGCAACCAAAGTAAGATTACTACCAACGTCAAGTGTTATGGCTGTGATCCTGTCATCGACGAGCACCACATGACTCTTCGACCTGATTGACGGCTTTTCACCACCTGATCAAAAACACGCAAAATGATTATCGAGAGCTTGCATAACTTTGGATTTCATCAAATTGCGTGGGCAAGTCTTTGCATATGTGGGAGCTGTTAACTGTTAAATTTCTAGGCCGTAAATGTCGAATAAAGCGTGAAATATCTCTGCAAAAAAATTATTCAGAAAGATGTTGGTCGGTCTTAAAGAAGGGCGCCATTCAAAATCTGCAGGAATACATTATTCCGTTAGTGATCCACTGCGTACAACAGCTATAACTGATGTTAGTAAAACGTGAAATAACAACAAAAAAGGCACTGTTTCATTAAAATCTGCATGGGAAACGCCTTTTCACTCTGTAAACAAAGACAATTTGTTCCTATGCTCTCTGAGAGCTCTGCGAGCACAGCATTTGGGCGATTTGTATCGAACAAGTGTCTTCAGTCACCTTTTGACCGAAAACTACTGAGATCATATAACTAAAAGGAAAACTCAACTTATGTTGATTGAAATAGGACGAAGAAAGTTAACTTCGAAACATATTGGATTGTAAATAAGCTTCCTTAACTATCTATCAATTGTTGCTTGTCTGGAAACAAGCCCTTACCTCTCACAGACAGCACTGTTGAATAGCTTACAAAGCCTAAGAAGTTCTCCGCTGTGCAAGTGTAACGGCCTGCATCCTTCAGTTCAACATTTCTCAGTAGCAGGAGACTTGATTGCGAATTTTCCAGTTTTATGTTATCTTTGCTCCAGGACAGCGTTGGCGTGGGTGCCCCAGTGGCAGCACACTCTATTGTTATATTACTTTTATCAAGAACCGTTAACTTTTCTCCAATTAATACTTTCAGTGAGACACGATCAAGTAGTTCCCGTTCTCTTGTCGCGAAAAGAATTCTTGGCTTCACGGATTCTGGTGAAAATAGTGAAAAGTTAGTAGAAGTGAAGTCAAAACAACCTAAAATTACTGGACGGCTTTAAGTCAGTGAAAAGTCAATTTAGTCTTTTTTCTAGAAATGATTGCGTTTTTTCGTTACTGTTTTATAAAAATATGTCAAACAGGGCTGTACTTGATAAACTGATCAAAAAATATAGCGAAATTATACCAACAGTTTCAGAGCATCGGAATTACTTCATTGACGGTGGTGTTCCGTGCCTTACACACTGATAGAACTTGATGTGTACCGCATTTTACACATTTCCTTCATTTTGCACTCGCTCTCTTTTCCGCTAAAAAAGGGACTGTAATTTTTCTTTAACCCTGCTTACCAACGAACGTAATATTGGAGACTGCAGCTGCTTGTCCGCCGGGGCTTGAGGCTGTGCACATGTACAGACCTGAGTCAGACACACCAGATGATAACAAGCTTATTCTGTTTTCACTTAAAAACAAGCGTTCCGTGTTTGAGCTCGTGACGGGGTTGTACCCTTTAACCCAAGCAACCTTGGGGTCAGGAAATCCAGAGACGTCACAAGTAATAATGACGGGTGTTCCAGTCAATGTTGTTACTTTACTTCCAATCTTTACAGTTATTGGCTGTCGAGTAGGATCAAACACCTCTATGGAAATGTTCGACGAGTCAATTTTCGGGAAAGTTGGCTCTGAATGAAAGAAAAAGAAAACAAAGTCTCTTTCTGTGTGCATAGCAGGACCGAAAGTATGTCATGTACACTGCCCAATGTTAAATGCTAACTCTAAAGGCCGCATTCCACCTTCTTTAACCCGACATTATTTACGCAATATAAAGAAATTTAGCCCACGACAACACATTCCGTTTCTGACAAAGATTAAAGCTTCTCAATCGCACACTGAGCCAAAAAATGTGAGTAACTTCATCAATTTGACATATCAATAAGATCTAGATCCAAGCGTCCGCAAATTAAGAGTCACGAGAGATTGTATGCTGATCAAGCTCTAAGCGTACTGCCAGATGACCATATATTAACTCACCAATAACAGTTGCGTAGGACGTTTCTACAGCTTCTCCTGCGATATTGGTAGCCACACAAGAGTACTCTCCCACGTCTTCTTGACTCATCTCAATAATTTTCAAATCTCCTGTGTCCTGATCAAACTGAAGAGTATCACTGACTACAACAGGAATACCATTAAAGAGCCAAGAGGTGGATGGCTGTGGTAATCCCTCGACCGGGCATCTTAGCAAAAGGTTCCTTCCCTCTAAAATGGTGACATTACCTCCAACAAGGTGTTCAACTGTTCTCTGATCTCCAAATTCCTCCTGGTTTTCTCGCGTGGTTATGATGCGGGGCACTGTTGCTCTTTCTGGTGCAATGCGATCTAAAAGTTATCATTAATGTTTTGAAGGTAGGTTGTTAGGCCATTGCAACAATTTAACGTTAACGTTATGGCTCAAACCGTCTTTTTGCCACAGTTTGGTACATTAATTTAGAGAGAAAATGTCACTGGATTAATAAAACATTTAAGCCTTCTCTTAGATGAAATAGTTCTTTAAAACTACTTTACATTTAACGAGGTATTCCTTACACATCTCTCATCTCCACAAATTATAAATTGCTACTAACCAAGGACAGCAACAACCGAGCTGGTTGTTATGGAGCCTGCCAGATTAGTCGCCTTACAGGAATACGCCCCAGTTGCATTTGTATCACCAGCAGTTACAACGAGTGAAGTCTGAGTACTATTTAAATCGAGGTCTCCTTTCCACCAAGTGACAGTGGGGCTAGGAAGGCCTTCCGCAACGCAAACAAATGTGATGTTGTTGCCAAGGACAGTGGTTATATTGGTACCAATTGTTGCTCTATAGTTCACTGCATTACTCAGTTCTAAAGATAATTCACTTGTTATGATACTTGGTGCAGTAGGCTCTGGAGGTAAGAAAAATAAATCAGGTATGAAAATGAGTGACTGGTTAATCAAAAGGCCCAACAGTCTGTCTAAAATATGGATGTATAACGGCTATCGGAATATTTATTCTCAATGGTAGAATCAGTAAAATAAGCCCACCGTTATGTTTATGAAAGCGATGATTAACCCTTTCACCTCCAGAGTGACCAGCATTTAATTTCTCCTTTCAACATCACCCCCCTGAATCACACATTAAGGTCACAAGAGTCTAGGAAATGATCACCAACTAAAGAAGCTCTTGATTATAAAACGAATTCTCCTTGTCAGCACCTTAGGAAATGCAGAGAAAATAGTGTGGATAATATGAATACTGATGTTAGAGTATAAAGGGTTAACTCACCAATAAGAGCTATAACAGAATAAGAGGCGTCTCTTCCCAGGGGGTTAGTAGCAGCACATAAATAACGTCCCGAATCGGATGTACCACTGTCCTCACTGAGCACCAAATTAGTACCATTCACTTTGTGTTTACTGGGTAAAGATGCTCCGTCTTTGGTCCACTTCACATCCGCTAATGGTATGGCAAACACTGGACACTCAATTGTCACCTACAGAATCATCGTAATGTTATAACCATGGCAAAGTGTGTAAACAATCTGGAAACGTTCTGCTACAATGGACTGCTGATCACAATAAAGTTTTCCATCATGAAGCTTATTTCCGAGAAAGTTTCGAGGAGTTAGGATTAATTTGATCCAATGACATAGTGTTGTGCAGCTGTCTGTTAATTCATCTAAGGTTATTCCGCACTAAACAAAAGTAACAGAAAAGGACTCGAAAACGAATTTTTTTGACAAGACAATTAGAATCCCTGGTTGAAATATCTCAGTTTCCCACGTTTTAAGATCTCAGTTAAGTTCAACTTTATCTTTAAATCTGTGAACAAAACAGACTAGTTCCCTATGATAAAATTAAAGACGTCCAATAAAAATTACAAGTATGTCATCTAGTGTTCTAAAAAAATGGAGTTTGTTTCCCATAGCATATTATACCTTAGTTTTGGTGAACGCCCGCAAACTGTCTCCGATCACCAACTTGATTGGGTCCCTGGATTCTAGCGACACTTTGATACCAACTGACCCAGTAACCCAGGTGGATTTTATAGAAGGTGGAACACGCTCTAAAATAGAAACAAGTATAACGCAATCACTGTAAACACTATTCAGGGCATTTCTAGAAAGAATCCAAAACACATTTCTTTGTTTTGAAGTAAACGGTTTAATTCTGTAAGTATGAGTCATTCGTATTATGTGAGCATTCAGGTGTAAGAATGATTTGGGTGACGGTGACTGATGTACAACATCCTCAGGAATCAAACTTTTATGGGTATTTGAAGTTTTAAATCTCTTTTCGTGATCTCGGGTTCTGTTTTGTTTATAGCCATGCGGTAGTTATATTACCATGTAAAATGGACTCGATATAGTCTCATACCATAAAATGTGACGTAAGAGAAGGCCGTGACAGATCCTCCCGCGTTATATGCAGTGCAGCCATAGACCTCATCTTCTTGGGCCGGTTGTGATCCCCTGATGCGAAGTGTGCTGACAGTACCGTCGTAAGGAACGATGAATAATCCCTGACCTTCAAACCTTTGCTCAAGGCGAACATTTCCTTTAACCCAATTTACTCGAGGAGTTGGGAATCCCGTAACACGACAGATAAGATCAATTCTAGTCCCTTGTATAACTTGTAACCTCGTTCCAATGTTTACCGTAAGATACATGCCCTCCTCAAACGATTTTAAAACTTTTTTGTCTGATTGAATCACAGGTGGAATTGATGCTAGAGAGAAATTTAATTAAAATGAGTGAACATAGTTATCCATGTGATCACTGACTCTACGTACAAAAAAATTTCAATAATGATAATTCCGAGGAAACAAAACCTAAATTCTAGCGTTCCCTATTGGTTGCTCAGGTTATGAAAAATTGAATTAGGAACGGGCTATCCGTGCCCTCTGGGGCACGGTTGCAGATTATCAACAATACATCTTTATATGCATCGCAGTCACATATTACAGTACATAGTAGACACTTATAACTCATAATAATGATGTTCACGCTTCCGCTTTGAGTATTGGTCTTTTTCGCACAAAGAAAGTAATTATCCCATTGCAATACCGCATTTTCCCATCACCTTTACCGTACAGAACAAAAATGTTAAAAGAGCTGGATGCTTGTGAACAATTGGCCATAGATTGACAAAGATGAAACATAGTCAAAATTTTAACTGGTTATTCAGTCTACGCGCAGTTGCTCGATTGTACAACGGACCTTCAAAACTATCAGAGATGTTCCTTATATTTTCCTCGAAATATAAACAGCGCAAGATTACAAGTAAAATATATTTTTGCCTCTCCATGCAGACTTTTAATCTTTTTCAGGAAAGTTTTTTTAATATGATCGGTAAATATTTGTTAACAATTGCCTAAATCGCGTGAACTGGGGCTTGAATCACGAAATGAAAAGGAATATTAAGCTTTCATTGTACCACTGATAAAAATTTAAAGAACATTTCTCAACGATAAAATATGAGCCAACCTGTATTTCATATCAAGACTTGATTTTTAACAGTACGAGTCGCAGTGGAAGATGAGATTCACGTTGCCATGTGGGCAAATATCATGCGTAGAATGTTACATTTAAATATCTTTGACTACTATTTGCTGGTAGTAAAAGAAATTTACAGACAGATTTCTGTCACTATGAGAATTATATCCAATATTATACTTACATCTGACAGTCAGCCGAGTTGTTTTTCTCGTATCTCCTGCAATATTTGCTGCCAAACAGGTGTAATTTCCAGAGCTTTCCTCCTGTAGAATTCCAAGGCTTAACTTTCTACCTGTGCCAATCTTCGTACTCCCACGCAACCAAGTTACCTTTGGTGTAGGTAATCCCTCCACAGAGCAGATCAACTCCAAATATATGCCATCTCTACATAGTATATTACCTCCTACAGCCTCTGACAGTCTCACAAATTGTTCTATCTTTAAATCTTTCCCAGTCTGCGTGATTCTCGGGCTTATTGGTTCTATAGAAAACATGAAATTACTCGCGTACATGTGGCAAAATGTATTAAAGAACGTTTTCTTGACATTATGAAAGAATATCCTGACTGTGTTGCCATCGACAGAAGTCGATTAACTATGTTGCTTGCAGAAGACGGCAGCAAGGATTGTTCTCAGAGTTAAAAGTAACACCAAGGAAACACGAGTATGCACTCAAATTTACCGCCACAATGTTCTGTACTTTTAGTCATAGAAACGTAATGTATTAGGTATTATTGACTCTACTTTTTCAATCACAACCTATATACCTGCCAAACTAAAACCTTACACTCTTTATCGTCAAAAGTGCCATCCTTCTCTAATAGGAATCTGTAAATATAGTTGTTGGACAGCGTGTTTAATACTAACCAATGAAGTCAAGCATCGAAGAAGCTGAATCCTTTCCAATCGTGTTTTGGGCAAGGCAAGTGAAAGAACCGCTATCGTCTCGCTGAGTACGGTGAATGACAAGAGTTGTGCTGTTGATAGAGAACCTTTCAGAAGAAGTGATCTTTTTGCCTTTTCTCAGCCAACTGATCGTGGGCTTAGGTATTGCAAACGCGCGGCACGTGATCACGAGTGGCGCACCGGGCAGAATAGTAACACGTGTTCCAATTATAACAGAGACCAGGCTCAAGTCGACGATTTGTTTGACGGAATTGGAGGAGACTTCAATTTTTGGCACGAGTGCCTCTGTAAGGAAAGAAAATTTTCAACTGGCTGAAAACAAAACTGAGTTTTTCTTTTACTTCAACTAAGGCTTTGTAAAGTTGGGGATTCTTCATTAGAACGGTAAATATTATTTTGGAGTATTGTTAATAAGAAGATTTTGTTTTGAAATCGTACAATTTTCAGAATTTTCATCACAACGCTACGCAATTTTCCGGTCGTAAAATCTAGTAAACAACAATTTAAGCAGGGTAAATCTACCACACGGGTCTCCGACGTAAATGCAAGAAATTCGTAAGGTTTTCGATTCGTTTTTCGAACGGTTCATATTATTTATAAGTGTTGATATTTCCTAAAACTATTGCTCAATAAAAAATTTTGATTTTAAAACCGTACAAATTTTCAGAACTTCGAAAGTTTGGAGGGTACTCAAGAAGTTAGAGTTGCTGCACCTCGAACAACTCTTACGCTTCCCTCGTGCTCTCCAAACTTCCCGTGTGCATCCATGACTCGATATACGCACGTTGAGCATGAACCAATTCTCTATCTTTATCACTTTATTAAGGATTCAACCGGTAATATTGAAAAATCCTTAAAGTTACGGGAAAACGTATGGCAATTTACGAAGTGCTTGACTATCTTTCCGATCCACTGGAAACAAAAGGAACAAATGAACCCTGAAATCAAGGTTTTCATTAGAAAGAAAACGCATGCGTCAAGACAGCGAAGTAAGTATTCATTTTTCGCCACCATTTTGAATTTTTCGCTTAGCAAAAGAATAGAGCTGCGCACAAGTTTGGTCTAGGATATTCAGCTAAGTCAAAATATCTAATTCGCACACACCTATTACAGTTACAGTTGATGTGACTCTGTCTGAACCGTCGACGTTGAAGGCAGTGCATTGATACTGTCCAGCACTCCCTAATGTCAGCTTCCTTGCAATGAGACGAGACCCTCCAGCTATCTCTTTAATAACAAATCGTCCTGTTGAAGACACTTGACGTTCATTCCAGCGCCAGTTTATCACTGGAGAAGGAGTTCCACTGGCCAGGCAGTCAATAGACACATCTGAGCCTGATAACACTTGTAAACTGTCACCAATCTGAATGCTCACTTCCCCTTGACCTTCAATGGACTTCACAGAATTATTCCCGGACTGAATTTCAGCACCGCTTTTACCTAAACAAGGAATAGCATAGTTTCCCCATTTTGGATCAAGTTAAGCTTACATAAGAGATCGTAATGTTTTCGCACAACCGATGGATACCGTCTTTGGATATCTTATCGTATCATTTGATTAACCTCGCACGAATGCCGTTTGATCTATAGCGGCAAACAGAGTTACTGGGATGAACCAAATAATGTTAAAATTCACTCGGTTGTACTTCGTCAAGATGGACAAGCAACGGTTCGTAAACCAAAGAAGAGATTGATTCATGGTTCTGTGAGCGCAGGTACTAACTCACAACGGAGCCTACAATGTATGTACCTGTACTTACCTATGATGCTGACAAAAGTGGATGCTGTGTCTTTTCCTGCGCTGTTTTCAGCCAAACAAGACACCTCACCAGCATCCTGAGCCTGTATACCATTCACAATCAAAGAGCTAGAACGACTGTCAATCAGAAATCGTCCTGAAGTTTTCAGCATCCGCTCGTTTAGAAACCATGAAACTTCAGGAGTTGGGAATCCACGGACTTGACACACTACACGAACGATCAAACCCTCCACTACTCGCAGATATTGGCCAATCTTAACGACTGCTTCCTCGATAGCTATACCAGTTACCCGCCCCGTCGATTTTTCAATCTGCGGCTTTTCGGAAGCTGTTAACAAAAAAACCAAAACAAAGAAATGTATGAATCTCTGTTTCCCGACCTTTTATATGTTTTCGGCTTTGCCGTTCGTCAACAGCAAAGAAAAAACTCGATGCAATTCGAGGAGACTAAACACCGGTTCATTAAATAATGACACGTTTTTAATATCCTCAAAGTGTAGGCTTCCGTCAACACTGGGATGCGGTAGTGACTGAAAAATCATCTTGAACTAACTTACCAATCACTGTTAACTCGCTGGTTCGACTGATTCGACCAGCTCTGTTCATCGCCTCACAAGTAAAGGTTCCCGTGTCCATTTTAGTGACGTTATTTATCTTCAGTGTTCTTCCAAACTCTGCCAGGTCTTTGTCATCTTTCTTCCACTGTACGGTTGGAGTAGGAAGTCCAGATGTGGGGCATGTGATAATTATACTTGCACCAGCAAGCAAGATCAGTTCGTCGCCAATTGTGGCTTCAATGACCTCAGAGGGCCCAAGGGAAGTTATTTTCCTATCAGAGTAACGTATCGTTGGAGGTTCGGGAGCTGTACAGGTAGAAGCCAATGAAAATTATTTTTCAAATAACTCTTACTGTAGAAATTCCTACTAACTGATCATAATGATGCAAATGTTAACAACTGCATAAATGTAACATGGTTCATTCCTCTCGGCTATGTTTGCTCGGGCAAACTATCCATGTATGAAGTCATGTAGATCTTCGCTGAGAAAAAATAAGGCAACAATTCGCTCAAACTAAGTGAAGGTTAAGAGTAAAGCCGAGAAAAGTTCTTGGGTCGATAACTTCCCTTGAGAAGACTTAATTGGCCTCAGAACTGAGGCCTTTGAGATATTTCATTCATGATCACTTACGTAAAATATTAATCTTCGAAGACTTGGAATCCTGTCCAACATTATTGCTGGCCGTACACATATAATCCCCGGAGTCCTCAACTCCAGGATAACTGATAGTAAGAGTAGAATTATCTTCACTAATAGTTACACCATTCTTCAAACCAGGCTTTTTTCCACGAATTTTCCAACTTATGGCGGGGGACGGCTCCATCGCTGAAACACAACGTACTGTCACCTGGGTCTCAGAGATGACGGTTAATTTCGTTCCAACGTATATTTCGACATCTTTGTTTTTCTCGTCGATGACTCGTATATCTTTTGTTCCTGCTTGAATCTTGGGAGGATTCAAAGCTTCAAGAAAGAAACAAAGGAGTTAAAACTCTCAAAGTAAGAGATAATGAACAACATTTTAAGTGGCTGAGTAGACCTAAGTTTGCTCCCATATTGCTTACTCGCATTCTTGATGTATGGTACTCGTTTACTGAAGTCACATGTGTTATGAAATTATATGTATGTACCTATAACGCTAACAGTCGAGGTTGCCTGGGCTTTTCCTCTACTGGATCTGGCATTGCATTCGTATTCCAAAGCATATCTCTGGTCAATGTCTGTTATGACAAGATCCTGTCCAACTTTTACGGCTTTGCCAATCTCCGCTGAACCACCCTGTGCTGTCCAGTAAACTACAACAGGGACTGCTGCATCCGCAGGACAACGTATAGTAAGCCTCGCTCCTTGGTAAACCGTGACGTCACTCCCTATGGTGATTTCTGCTTCTTTGTCATTAGGTCCAAATGAGACGTCACCTTCGGCTGTAATTATCGTAGGTAAAGAAGGATCTAAAAGAAATGAAGGTAAAATAATTTTTTCCCCCTAAGGGACGATGTCATTATTAAAATGTTTTTTAAGGTATTTGAGGTTCGTGAGGAGTTCTTAAAGGGGAACTGTCCAAAAAAAGACGCACGGCAGGTTTAAAAAGTCAAATACTTGTTTCAAGATAACATTTATAGTCCATAGCTTATTAAAACACATTGCCTTAAGATTAGTGACATACAAATATTGCGACACGAATTCTTGTAAAAAAAATCTTCACCAATAACACGTAAATACTCAAGACCCACAGTAAAACACGCTGCTGATATTCATAACACTTTGCAATTACTTTCAGTTATTCTGATCTCTTCCCTCATGCAAGAATGACACGAGGCTTTCGTCTTCAGGGCAATTATAGTCACTACAAGTAATTCCAAAATAAGAAACTTTTCACATACCGAATAACTTGGCGGTGAATAAGGCTCTCCTTTCTCCTGCAGTGTTTGAAGCTTTACATGTATAGGTGTCTTCGTTAAACCGAGTCAATCTACGAATTCTTAAAATACCGTCTATTGCTGCCACACTCCCTCGAAATCTGTCTGTCATCACAACCCCGTTTCTATACCACAAAATCTTAGGAGTGTCAAAATTGGAGCTTGCTCTACAAGACACGGTAATTTCAGTTCCTCTTACAGCCCACACGGTGGAACCGACATCTACAGACACTTTGCTGACTTTTTTGAACACAAACTTCTTTACTTCACTTTCCACTATCACAGGTAAATCTAAATAAGGGAGAATAATGTACCACCGTTGCAAATTCACCATTTAACAGCTGTGGTAAAAGTATAATCATTAAACCAGGTTTTCACTAAAACAAAGAAAAAGCAACAACGACGACTAGGAAATCCTAGATGACTTTTTATAGAAAGTGAAAAGTCTCGTTTTAGTTTACGTTGTCACTTTCGACTGCAGCGTAGCTATCCTGGTAAATTCATCTTCAGGAGGACAAGAACAGGTCTAGAGGCTGGAGGGATAGAGTAATATCATTCCTTTCATAAGATTTTCATGTAGTCAGCATACTTTATTGTTTCCTTTTTTCGATGAGACATAGGCGCTTAACTTGTAGATCAAAAGTAACTACGCAGGATCGAGAGGATGACAAGGAAGAAATCTTTCCTGGTCGCCAGAACTCCAATTAACCCTAAAAAGCCGTAGAGTACTAATACAATTACACAGGTAGCTCAAGAAAATGCGCCGCAAGATTCCCATTTTCTACAATACTTTTTATTTGACTCGCAAAAGCCTCCTTTCCCAAGAAATAGGAAGGTGAAAGAAACGACGTTTTTCGCAAAATCAAACCATTAAACAAGATAAACCATCCGTACATTTACGCTGGATGGAACTTCAATAAAAAGACAATGGCACACCGTGACAAGCCATTACCTAGGCCTCGATAATCACATGGACGTCAGATTGAATTACCTGGAAACAACTCTAAAGAGGGTCCGGGAAAATTAAGATGATTTTCATGTCCAATCAAATTAGCTAGCTGGAATATAACATTTACATTGAATGTATCAGCAGGAAAGCGACCTTACCTTTGCCGCTAGGTGATACTCCACTGCCATCGTCCAAAACATCTACAATCAAAAATAAGATGCTATTAGTAAAAATATTCTTAATCCGACATTACTCTCTTGTGTCTACCAGGGATCTAGTTCCTGTCCTTGATGAGCGGTGCGAGCGTAATGAAAGAATGCCTCCCATTCGAGTGTCACTGTTTTTCCTCAAAATTCCTCGATCTTAAAGAGACTTATCAAGTGGTGTAAATGCTTTTCACGAATATTAGGTAATCTGTCGCCTGGAGCCTCCACTACCCTTGTCCAGCGGAACAGGCACGGGCTTTGGAGAAATCCGACTAACGCAACCGAAGTGTTGTGGTTCCGGTTTAAGAATGCGTGCGTGGAGCTCTTATAAAATGTCTTCGCACATGAATAGAGATTAAAACTGCTGGGAGAAACCACGAAGTACAGCACTCACCCTTCGAACATATTGATCAGCACCAATATCGAAAACTCAATGGTTCAGTCGAAATAAGATATTTTTAGGCTGATTCGATATAAATCAGTATTCATGCAGTGTACCTACTTGTTTTCATTATATTTTTTCTACCAGCTAAGGCTCGATGATTTCTGAATAGATCCTTTTTCAATGTCCGACTTAACACTCTTAGAAAGAGATCTTTTCACTCTACCAGCGAATCTAAATATACCTTTTTTTAGAGAAAAAAACGAGTTACTACTCTACTATACTCTGTCGATCAGGCAACTTAAAAAATTTTTCAACAGCTGATGCGGTGATCACAATAAGATTTCTGGTTAATTTTCCACATCTAAGGCGAATTTAGCTTCTATTTTAAATAACATTCGGGGTTTGACGGAGGTCAAATCAAAGAACGAACAGAATTCAAATCGTTTTCGAAAATCGCGGGCTTTAAAGTCCATTTGGCATTACACAATCAACTGCTCCAAAGCAGCAGTTTCTGCGAACGCCCTGATTGGACGTCTGTCGTTTATTGCACCAGCAATAGAATGCACTTTCTATCGGTTCAACGGTTTAAAAATTGGAGAACACGAAAAAAGTTCACCAGCCAAACTCGTCAGAGGTTTCTCGTTTTCTCCCAACATCATGCGAGGGTTATTACGCCGGTAAACTGGTAAAAAGAAACGGTGTATTGCTGTAATAAATTAAAGATAAAGTAAGCAGACAGAGAAATTTAAAGTATTGAAGTTTTACCATCCTGCTCGACAGCTCTTTTCTCCCTTATATCGTCATCTTCCAAAACTTGAAGTAATGTAGTAAAGGAGTGAGGCTCCTCCACCTAAAGAATAAAATTAACGAAAATTTTTGTCAAGTTAACTAAGTGATCTCAGTGAATGACAGTTGATTATCTGCTGGCCAGATTAAATCTGATAAAATTCGTTTGCTTGTTATGAAACTAAACTTATAAACTAAAATTATTCATGACCGATTGAAACATAGGGAATGTATGGTATGTTTATTATGGATTGTTCAAACGTTGACCCTATCTGATATGTGCTGGAGGCTGGCTTCAAAGGGAGCTAATTTGTTTTATTTCTTGATTAAAGAGAACCTTTACTTAGAGGGTTAGTTTAAAAAAAACTACTACATTTCCACAAAATATTTCCCTAGCTTTCCTTTTTAAATTTAGCGAAAACGTTGTCGGTGCTTTTCTCATTTTGTTTCATGAAGCCACTATCACACGATTTTGAGTTTTCCACTTACCAACTTGCGAAGAAAATAAAATTGATCGCCCGACGATCAATGCGGTCTGTGACCGCTAGACAGTAAATTGACAATTGCGGAATTGTTTAAAATTCCGTAAATGACAGCCTCTGTTGGGTTTGCTATGATTACCTAGGATAGCGTGCTCCTACCAAGCTTAAAAAGAATGAAGCAGACTGCCATATGCGACATTAAGTCCATATCAAGTATCAAAATAAAAACTACATCAGAAACATTTACCATCCACTTATGAAGTTTGGCTGCCTATCAAAAACTGTGTTGAGTGGGTGAGCGGCAGTTATTAATTACTCAGGGAATTAAGTTATGAAACGTTTTTCGTCAAATCAATCTTATCCAGACATTTCATGGTTAATGTACAGAAAGGGCTTCTTGATAAGGATAAAGCTACTAAAGTATCATGTTAATTAACTGAAACAGGCGCCAGCATTCAAGAAAGATCTAGATAACGACCAAGATCTCGCCGAAAAAAGACAAAGTTCTCGCAATGTATTTTGGAGAGGGTACGAGCATATGGTTGGACATATGTTGCGATCATGCCACATACACCAGAGTATCAATATTATAACGCTGGGAATTTTTAAAATACGTTTTCTTTAAAACTTAGATTGCAATAACTTAGGTAGAGAATCGTTAAACATAAGTTTCCCAAGAAATGTTGCGCAAACTGGCGTAAAAAAAAATTAATTGAAAATTATTGCACATCTAATTTAAATTACATAGAGTGCCCGTGTCTCGACACGTAAAAGCACACTTCTAAATCGTCGGTTGACTTTCTTTACAAGTGTGGTTAAACATACAATTTATCGTAATCTCACAACAAAAAACCAGCGCTTCACCGGAATTTTCGGAAAGATTGTAACATTGCTCACTGATTTAAGATTTTCGATTTCTGGTTATTTCTAATTTGCAACAATTGTGCTCAAATTGGATATGACCGAACTTGAGTACTTGTAAGCATTTGATAGTCTCAATAAACAAGTGTGCCACGTTAGCAGCCCCCACCTCTGATGAACTTTGAATGATATAATTTTTTCAAAAAAGTGCTCAATTTATCCGACAAAAACAAAATTCAACAAAAATTTTCATGTCTTGTAATATGGCCTCTGTGTATGTTGGAAAAACTAAAATCTCAAACTCCATTCCACCTCATCAGTGAGACCATCATTGTTGCAGGGCGAAATGACAAATGACATTAAACATTAAACTCTATTAACTTCGCTTTAAAGCACCTATCGTCTTAATCTTCTGGTTACAGCAAAACAAACAGAGATAAATTTCTGGTTCTCCCCACATCAACGCGAAAAATGTTTGAGCTTGAGAAATTCTAGCGTATGTTTTATTACCTTCTCAGCGGCTTACGACCTTGCCCTAAGTAGAGGTTTTTAAATATTATTTTCATGTTTTCTTTCTCATAGCACTTATCCACTACGTTTGAAAATCATACGCAGAACACTTAAGACGAAGAACACTTCAAATGTCACGAAACCAGTCATCCGTTCATGTCAAAAAGACTCAACATGGGTTACAGGCGCTTGTCGTATCAAAACATGGCTCCTCGTACTTCACGTTGGTAATTTAAAAAGACAATAATCATGCACTGTATATGCAACAATCGCATGCAAAATTCAAGCTGACCTCCTGTTGTCCTGAGCGTATAACGCAACTGAAGACGACGGCAAAGATAAGAACACATGTCTGAGATCTAAAGAAACGAAGCAAAGAAGAGAATTCGTCTTAATTAGTCTCACACCACTTTCATCAGCGATTACAACCAAGACGCTTGATCGATGTTGGTGTTCGCACTAATAGTGATCATAACAAACCAGATATTTGTAGGAATGCTTCCTTACCTGTATACAATGGAGCTTATCCTCAAATACTGCCTCATATTATGTGAAAAGTCAGCAATGTCGCACAAATGCGAAACTGTCCACGGTGTTCTGCCGCGTTATTTAAACCGAGTTACGAAATTTCGTCTAGGGAGTCGTCAGTTCGATTTCCTGTTGAATTCCACCGCAAAATCAAAGTGAAACGCGGTAAAAAGTTTGGAGTTTCGATCTTGTTTTAGGACAGTTCAGCAATGCCATTGCTCATCTCCAAACAAAACTCGCTTTCAGCTGCTTCCAGTGATATGATCCGTTGGAAATCAAATTCTTAGCATTTGCGGTAGTGACAAGGAGATTCCGCCCAAGACGTTTTGTAATACGATTCCCCCTTTCTACAAACCAATGTTCCCCAGCTTGTTTGCCAGATTGTCAGTAGGGAGCTAAAGAAAAGTGTTCAGCTATTTTTACTCCTCAAAGATCTCTTTTTAATTTCTGTCTGCTTTTTACTGAACCACGTTAGCGATCTAAGTTGAATATTTGCTTGGTTCGTGATGCTATAATTATTGTTGTTTTTAATCCGTCGTATTTAACATTATTGTCGTGTCGTAGGTCAAATCAATCCCATATTATCCCACGGCTGACAGTCCTTGTCACAAATTGCAGACTTCGACGGATTTTGGCGCTCCAGGGAGCACGACGAGAAAAAAAGGCGATTAGCTAACCCTTGCGACTGTTGCGCCGAAACTTGTATTCGTGCAACGTCTTAAAACTCCTTCTAAATTTGTCTGTTACTTCTTGATACACTCCTTTTCTACCTTACACATGTGGACGGAAATCCGGGAAAAAATAAGAGTTTTAGCCCGACCATAAATGATCACTCTAACTGCCCTGCTTTGATGTCATATCTCGCGCCATGAAACTACTCTCAAAAAATCTGTCCCTGTTTCCAGGATCCTCGATTTTGGGTGCAGCAAGGTGTGTACGACCAAATATTTCCTGTTTCCGAGTCTTGTCAGCGTTTCAACTGAATGAATGTCGTAACAGCCAATTCAAAAGGAACACCTTCCGTTTGATGATTTAAAGAATCCTGATTTAGGTATAACCGAGTGGTGCTCGAGAGGAAATATTGACATGTATTGCCTAGTTGGTCATATATGAATATTCTGTGATTTATCGATCAAGATAATCTTTGAAGAAAGACGTGTAAGTGTATTGTCCAGGACACCTCGGAGATTCTCTTGCGATCCAAGCAAAACAAACCGTAGTATACCTTAGTATACAATTGTCAATCGGCCTTTCTTCTTTGACCCAATTTGGTTGAACCTCCTTTTTCTACTCTTGATTTTTTTCTTGACTTGTTTCTTCGTTTGACTAGGGCACTTGAAGGACAAGCAACTCCCTACTTCCCGACGCAAAGCGTAACAGTGAGTGAGGCGAGGAAAGATGGAGGACTCGGGGGGCCTGGGTGCAACATCAATATGTGATGGCCTACTCGCAGGCTATAATATTTTTCCAACTTTCCTTCCTCAACCAGAGCTATAGACTGCTGATGATACTCGAACAGGTCTCTCACGAACCAAAAGAACATCTGTTGAAAGCATTATCCATAACAGAGCCATCATCTTCTATAGTATTGTAAAGGAAGCATTCAATCTCAAAAATATGCTAAGGGTATTAAATGGGCACCATCGCTTCAATCATTTCACATTTTCAATAGATTCCTCTTGCTTTCGATATCATAGCTCGTTTTGAAAATAGACATAATCTACTGTATTTCAAGAAAAAAAAGATGGAATTAGGGAAAGAGACCTTGAGAGTAAACAGGTGCGGTTTAACGAAGCCACCCAGTTGCGTTTTCATGTGTTATGCCTCTTCTTTCTGAAATTTTAGCTTTCTCCAACCACTCCTTTTGCGACAGAAACGTGTGATAAAGACGGGGCGAGTGAAGGTAACAAACTAGTCACACTCGTGCTGTTTTTCGTTCGTCTCCTTTCGTCAAGAGCCTGAAAAGGACACTGAAAAAGGATATTTCATGAGGCAGCGAAAAAATTGGAAAAACTGATTCCAGGGAATAAAGGCACGTCCGTAATTAACCTGAGTGAGTGTGATGTGATTGTGTATGGTATGTGCGTGCGGGTTGATGAACGGCCTAACTGCACAGGCAATGTACTAACGGAGAAGCTGCTGCAATATTGGTCAACTGTCCTAATTCGGGCACTTTTTAAAATGTGAATTTAGAGTGTAGTCAGATGTTAGAGATCAGCTTGATCCTAATGATACAAGTGATGTTCCTGAAAAGTATTGTTCTCGGTGACGGTGAGTGACATTTTGACAACGCGAGCGGAAGTCATCATCAAAGTCAGGTCAAGAGATGTTTGTCAGCAATCGAATATCATGAGTCTAGTTCTTGACATCAATTAGTCAGTTTTATACCATTGGCTGTTAGTTTTGATTGGTTAGTCTCTTCTTGTCATAAATGTTTTTTTTTCCCTCAGGACTCTCGTGTTTCCAAAATATAGAGATGTGTAGAGAATGAATCTAGAGAGCTGCTTAGGGCTCCTTTATTTCAAAGTTATTTGAAGTCATAGAGTTAGCAGCGAATTGCAAACAATTTTAGTTTCCTTACTAACTTTCTCAAAACGTTAAAACAATCTTAAATTTTGTCTCTAATTTTACTGTTATTTCTCCGCAAAAAAAAAATATATATATATAATTAGCCTAGCAACAATATGTTCATCCCTTTTTGCCGACTTTCCCATTCTCAAATCGTTTTATAGCATTCTGGATATTTTTTTATAAAAATGTTGAAATAACTCTCTAATCTAAGATTTTAAGAAAACTTTTCCGACTGATCTGTCGTTTATTGGATTGTAGGATCTTCAGTTAAAGGACAAGGTTGTCTTCCACAAAGTACTGTTCATGTTTGTCAGTTTGCGTACACTATGCAGTGCATTGATACCGAGCTTTCGTTTCTTAATTTTTATTCAATGTACTACCAGACACAATTTTCCTTCATAATTGATTACAATTATCTCATATCTAAAACCACTGAATACGGTCTAAAACTCGAGAGGTTTGGTTTTTTGCAGCCAAGAGTCCAGCTTGTCAAATACAGAATTTGAACTGCATCCAGAGAATGCAGGTCAAGAATCCAAAGCACATACTAAAAGCATGACCTAACCACAGAGGAAATGCGCTTATTGAGTTACATCAATTTGGTTGACGAGACATACCCTTATCAACATCAGAAGATCTTCTCGATGTTCTCGATTGCACGAAAGCAGCTCAGGCATAGATAAGCAATGATAAGTAAGATAAGTACTCTTAATCCACATCCTGGCTTGGTTTGGACTAGATAACCTTTCAACGGAATTTTCCTTACATCTTTTTCATTTTTTTGTTGGTCATTTTTATCCTCTGAACCTTAATGTTATATAGTTGACTACATCAGTTATCTACTTTCGACGAATTATGTTTCAATCTTTCCTTCTTAAGGTCTCCTTACTATTTTGATAGCTTACGAAAGTGTCGAAAAATTATGAAGACAATGTGAGTAGCTGACCAGCAACTCCTTGAGGCAATACATGAACCGCGTTAACTTTTGCACAGAACAAACATAATGCAAGAATTTTTCACAAGTTCCTCAAGGGTGAAATCATAAGTGAATTTTTAGCGTTGTTATCAATATTAAAGTAGGTGACAAACTCAAAATATTGGTTGGTGACGTGTCAGTAAAACTAATCAGGGTTACAAGCTGGCTCCTGAATACGTTATCATATTACTAGTAATTCGATAAAATATTTGAAGATCCTACACAGGAAGATATATCTTTAAAAGGTCTCGTAATCTCAGCTAATCTCATTAATAGATTGACTTGCTTGATTAAAATATTGAGTCGTCTGAATTGTGACAAAGTAAAGAGTAATTTTTTGCCCCATCGTTTTTTAATCGAAGAAGCTTGAATTTTTGTCACAAAACCCTTAAAATAATAATTTGCCGTGGTACATAAATTCCAAAAAGGATCGAGGTTGACTAAGAATGAGAAAAACACCCAGAATGCAATCGTAAAACTTGATGAAGATGAACAAGCTGTCACGTGTGATTCTGTGACTCATCAATAACTGTCAGTTGTAATGTTCACACCATACGCGGTTCCAAAAATGCTCTAAACCTGGCACAGGATTCGGAGAGTCTGCCACATATCTCACCAGACACCACACAGAGTGAAGAAACAGTCCCTCAGTGGTACTTTTAGACGAACAAAATTTTCTCATACGCTATTCTTTGAGGAAATTCGTGAGAAACTTTCTCCCAAGTAAATATTGTATACAAATTTAAACATTCAGATAAATCTGCTAAGTGTTCTGAAATAATAAGTGGAGTGAACGAGTAAAACGTCTAATAGCAAGTTGTGCTAAGAAATGCACCAGTGGAAAAAAAAAAAAAAAGACGCTCGCATATTATAACCAATCGCAGATATTCTTTTTATTTTGCCAGAATGAATGTTACTTTAGACATAATTTTAAAACTTCACCGCTGTGCTCTGTCTTTCTCCAGTCCCAGAGCTGTGAACGTCCAGGGCGTTGCAGACTCTCAAAGTCTCATTCTGCCATATCAGAGTTAGTACCGCAGACAGGGCTCGTTAGGTGATGAATATTACTTTTCTTACACTTTCTTCCTCAACGTCACTTGCTTTTCACTTCCTCAAAGCGGTTCTTCATAAAGTTGTCTAAATCATTTAAGTCTGTGAGAGCTCTTTCAACCATGTTACTTAACAACCCTGGCAATATCTCATTCAGTTTCTTTTTCTTTCGGTCAGTAAGTATGGCCGTGTGGGCTATCTCTTTCATATAATTCACAGCAAATGTGCGCCTTTCCTCTGCTTCCTGCCAAACGAAACAAGAAATATTTAGAAATGTCACCTCGTGTTAAGAAACAGCTTTCATCGTTGGGTGAACTATTTATTCAATTAAGTGGAATTTGTAGTCGAGTACGTTTAAACAAGATGAAAACATGTTAAGGGTAACCACAAAGGAAGCATGTTTAACGATATAAGGTGCGCAAATAAATATACAAGAACTGCCCTTAAAGGAACTTTCGACGAGAGCTGGAGTCGACGAGACCCTCAGGCGACTGACTCAAGGGAGGTTTGACAATTACAGTTCAACTACCAGAAAAATGTATAAAGATCTTCATACTCCATACTCTGTTTTAGTGAAAATAAAGATCGTAAAGCTAACCTATTTCAAAACAACAAAAGATAAATAACGACAATGTGACGTCTATTGTGATCCACTACTGATCAGGCGCATTGCAACATTTTTCGTACAAGACCTCTTTTATGCATGATAAGCTGAATATTACCGGCATTTTTTTTTTTTTTTTTTTTTTTGTACAGGCGTCTGTTCCCAAATAGATCGTGAGTAACAATAAATCAAAATGCCTGTATGATGTAGCTTATTACTTTAAGTTCTATACCAAGTCCTCGAATAAGCGCCCACGCGTATGATTGAACAGATCTTTTTGTTTTGTATCCCTCATATCCTTACTCAACATTAAAACAAGAAATGGAGGAGGCGCCAATTGCAAAGAAGCTTGATTTTTTAGGCGGGAAAGCGCTTATTCTGAGAATTATAGTCGACGATATATGAAGTTTACTTAAAATTTGTATTTACATGTACCTGGCTATGAGTCTTCTGTGAATCAGCTGGCCAGTACTGCAGTCCTGCCCGGCTGACAGATTCGTTCGAAGGCGCCCTGTGTGATAGAAAAAAGACGATAAAACGTAGTGTTTTGAGATGCTTAGTCTCATCATCCACAAATTATTAATGTAACTTTAATTACCGTTCGTGTTTTCCTTCAGTTTTCTTCTTATCTGCATCAAGCACTTGCTTCCGCCTGTAATAATCAAATTACTGAAGTAAATGAAATAAATAGTGAATGAAGAGCGAAAATGGAACGAAAGAAAATTATGAAATTATTCACACAGGTATGACACCAAAAATGCAACCCGAAAAATAGTCAGGGTCCAGTTGCATGAAACTAGATTACCACCAGCTAAGTGAAGGGCATTCAAAAACAATTATTTTCCATGGTAGTCATGTGCTGGTACCTTGTTCATACTTTTTTCCACAGCTTTCTTCAAATTTTTTTGTCACGCAAACAGCCGAAAATAGCGGAATTATACATAGGCTCGATTTCCGCCTCTCTCTCGTGTTCGGTCTTCCCTCCTCCCCGAGAAGAAGTGGGTTCGAGAGGAGGAGCGCGGGCTCATATTCCCGAACAGCGGCGGGAAATCGAGCCTAACTTGTGCACTGCTTGATGCGTTTCTGAACAATGTCAAAATTCTGAGGGTGAAAAAAGGCTGACTACGCGCTCCGCCGAAAGCGCTGGGTTTTGCGACATCCCATAGAGCGGCTTCAAGAGAGACTACAATTTAGCGTGACTAGTGAAATTTTCAGCAAAACTGGTCATAACCGAGTAAAGGACAGATAGGGATGTGCAAACTAAAGGTGAACTAAAGAAGTGAACGCCAGGCTTTTTCATGAAATCTGGGGGTTTCCTCTGAGAATATATACTATATTTTATAAAGATTTCCACTTTGCCATGTAGCTGTAAAAGTATATGTAATAGGTAGTCCAAATCTTGGATATTGCATGATCGCACCTCACACCATGCAAACTGTAAACATATCATGATCCAAAAAGGACTTTTCATATAGCATTAGCGTAACTTAGCTGTTAGAAAACCGTGCCAGAATTAAGGGAGCGTTTCACTGTGGGAGGCCCTCCTTTCTCTCAGTAAAATATTAGGGCGCATATCAACATTAACCGCCAACAAATATGCAATCGGAATTCTTACTGTCAGCAAAGGTTCAAAAGCAACCGAATTGAAAAGAGTATTTTAAAAAAACTGACCTTGAATCTCCTAGCATGGTAAGAAGCCTGGATTGAGGCAACTGTGATGTAGTAATATGAGCCAAGGTCCCAAACAGTTTCTCGGCATTGACATTATCTTCAGCTGTCACCTGGCCAGGAGCGAGTAAACCAATTTGATAACAAGACAAAAGAGTACATATGTCACGATTCGTTTGTATCGTAGAAAGAACTTGAATCACAGCAAAAGTTCACACGCGTGTCCAAAAGCCTCAGACTAGTGAATGGGCTCCAAACAGTCTTTTATTTCTCTTTTCCACAAAGGCGAGCTCGAATCAAGAATCATATCAAATTTCAACTTGCTGAAGCGGAGTGTGTTTTCCCAACCTTATCAACCACTGCTCTTATCGTACAGTATTACCTGATGGTTTTCATTGATTCACTTGATGTAAAGTATTAAAATAGTTTGTCTACATCGAACAGTTAGTTAGGATTTGAATTCTAAGTCCGAAGTTATTTGGATTTAAGCTATAACGATCATGACAAGATTCCTGATTTTAACTGTCTTCTTTTATTTCCATAAATGGACATGCTTAGTTTGTGTCCTAACCTTAAGTTCTCATTTTGGTTTTAAGTACATTAAGCGTTAGGTACGTTGTTGTTCACTTGTGAGATTCTAGGAAAAGTGTTTGGGTTAGTGTTATGATAGACGTTTATTCTTCCAAGGTCAGTTGGCCCACATGCCCACTCATGTCCAAAGATAGTGTGTATAAAGCGTGTACTGTTGAGTTCGACGTCAATCAATTAGAATCGATCGAAGTAAATCAGAGTTGATCAGAGTCGGCCTTCAGCTTGGCCGAAACTTTCTATTAAAACTAATTTTACATCATCACTTCAGCATTGACCCTTTACACCCTAACATCAGAATGCATATTCTCCATATTGTTCTCTCTACGTTCCTTAAGTGCTGACATGGAGAATTTGTTTATCAATCGAGAGATTCTTTCTTGGTGATCGTTTCCTTTATTCTCATAACCTTAATGTGTGATTCAGGGTTGATAGTGTGAGGAGAATTACCTGCCAATAACTGTTACGGTATAATCTAACCGACAGAAAAACACTACAATCCCACAGACTCAACTACTTTATTAAAGAGCGATCAATGTTCGCAACGAGGAGCGACTTCTGAAAGCAGTACAATACTCATCGCTAATAAACTTAATTAACCCCACTAAAGTCTATATCCTTTCTCACCACTGACACAATCTCACTGCTGCCTCCAAAGTTCCTTAAAATGAGCAATCTTCCGCAGTAACTCTCTCTCGGTATAGCTTTTAAAAGAGTCATCGCTCCGACAACAACCACTAACTCTACTACTACATAAGTGAGTCTTTACATATATTCACAAAGTGTTCTGAAACATTCCAGAAGCTTACATAAAAACTGTTTTATTAATATTACATAATAAATGCGAAACTTGATGAAATGTTCTAGAAAGTTCTACAGTATGCAAGTCAGCATGACTCAGCAGTCTGGAGATTTCTAGAAGCTTATGTTTACAACAATTACTCATAACATCACTCATAGGGGTCAAAGGCTCACAAAGAATAAGCGAGAATCCACTAACCTCAATATCATTGATCTTTCTAAGAGAGAAGTGTGCCAAACGGAACAACACATAAGGTTTCCACAGAGTGAAGGATGTTATAGGATTTCCCTCAGTACTGATGGAGATGTGTTCAAGTCTTCTTAACAAGGATAAACAATTGATTTGCTGCAGACTTTTAATGTTAGTTTCTGTAAAAATAAGACCCTGCAAAGACGAAAGTAAGAAATAGCCAGTTGGGTAGAGACTTGGCTCTGTCTTGTGAGATACTCCCACATCATGTAGTGTGCAAACGTTCATTATTTTGTTACGACGACAAAAGTTCTACAAATTCCTGCAGAGTGTAGCACTCCTAAAAGGTAAACCACTCGTAGAGGTTTTATTCCAACAGGCGTCACGCGTTTTCGAACAAATCTCCACGACTTACAAAAGATTTCAAAAAGATGATAACAAATCTTGCTCCATGTCTTGCAAAGTCCTCCGATGATTAGTGTAAACACCTAAAAAATGTTGATTTTCTAATGCTTTTCTTTTCCTCATGTCCCGCACGATTCCACTACAAAGCAATGTCGGTCTTCTGTGGTCGTATTTTCAAAGAAACTTACATCATTTGCCAAGCAACGACTGAACAAATTGGTGAAGACAACTACAAGCACTGCTAAGTGTAAAAGAGGGCAGTTTGTTTATGCTACATCATATAAAAGTTAAATACAACAACTTCAAGAAGCTCTGGACTATTTCGATTCCTAACTTTGAAGTCTACCATTCCACTAGCAAATTTAATATTATATGGATCCGTTTAATCTTTCCTTGAAGTACTCACCACCAGGGAAGGAAAGCGGGCCCTGATCTTGTACAGCTGAGGAACGATGTTGTCAAAATCGATGAATTTAAAGGAGATCGCACTGACAGCTTGTACGGCCTGGCTGCCCCAGTGACGATCCAGCGCGTCTAGGGAGCCTGGGCCATACAAGAACAAAGTGTCACTATCCAGCTCGGCTAAGTGGCATATACTCAGAGGGGAGGGGACAGCATCCCTGGGCCTGGATAAAGCATAAAATATTTTGTTATTGTGTCAATACAGAAAAACTCTCTTTGAATATCACATTTGTCAATGGTATTTTCTTGATCAACACTGCCTCACGTTTCTCCGCCATAAACTCGCCTATAGTGACCCGTGCGGTATTCCATGGCATACATGAATTACTCGAAAGCGTTGCAATGTAGCATATCTTTTAAAAAAGGATAGAGTGGACAGAAATTTCGATCTCCCATTACTCAACCAACTTTGTCTTATGGTTTTTCCTGCTCCTGGGCTATAAGGAAGGCATTGAGTAATAACATTAGCCATGAAAACTTAAAAAATTATTGCAGTTCGTGTTCACCACCAAATACATGAGATTCCTTCAAGATGATATCAGGATCACGACCCAATCCGAAGAAAATAAAGTATGCGGCAATCACGATTCTGCGCCACTCAAACATATGCGTTAACAAAAGCTGTAACTTTACTTACTCTGAGGAATCAGGCAGCTCATTGTGAGAGGTCTGAGGCAAAATTTCTAAGTTATCCCTTGAGGGCAAAGAGTCTGGCTTACTATTATTAAAATAAAAACAGAATTTTGTTCATCGCATGTTTTGTGTTTATGGAGATGGTATCCAAAATAATCATGGCTTATCCTTTAAAATTCAATAAGTAGCTGCACAAAGCTGAACCCTGTCAAACAGTGCTTGTCATCTTGTTACTGGTAATTTCGTTTCCATTTTATTGTAAGCTTAAAGTATTTCGTTGACTGAAAACTTCCAAATATCACCATTTTTAATTATTTCAAACCCAGATTTTCGAAATACAAATAAATTCTCCTGAAAGTCATGAAATCATGCTATCCTCAATATGCTGTTGAACATAGCACCACACAGACTGCATCATGGCCGTTCCTACCACTAAATATTTGAAATCTGAGTTAGTTATTCACCTAGCGTTTAACGCTTGAAATATCAAGCCAACCAATCTGATCGACATTCAGTTTGTCCCGAGAAAAAGGCATATCGGACGAACTTTCTCCCAGAGTTAGATCACACGTACAGTGTACCATTTCAAGAATACAAATTTTTAGTGGGTAGCCTGCGGTACTTACATTTCCCTGGTGCGTGATACCTCCCACTGTCGCTGTGCATTGTTGATAGCAATACGACGCTTTTCCTGAAAGGAGACAACACAAACCTAAATAAAACGTAAAAAATGTATTGCGCGCCAGTAGTTAACAGGTAACTTGCCTTCAGTACAGCTAATTTACTGATTTCCTTCTTTTTCTCTTCTTCTTTTCTTGCCATAACTGAGGCAATTCTCTTTTCCTCTTCCTGAGTGAAACAAAACCACATTTGTTAATTATTTCGTCGTATGTTCTTATACCTTCTGGGTCATCCCTCTTGTAAGTGGAGTCATCCGACGCAGTTCAAGTATGTTACTCTCAGCCAAGCATCATGAATATGTTACTGGTCAAAAGCATTAGTTATTGGCTTTCACTGCAACTAACCAGTCTACTAAACACATATATGATATATTTTTTATACTTAACTATTATTTGCGGATGTGGAGGTAAATATCTTCTACTTTCACCGACACTGAAGTGATTAACTGTTTAGTATATACCGCATAGAAACCAGAAACGCAGTTTGTTTGTACCAATATTCCGCAAAATGGTCGAAATCTTAACTCTCGACGTACGATTTTGTCTCTTCAGCTGCTCGGAGTTGAAGAGCTGAAGAGTACTTTCTAATCACTTTTAAACAAAACCAATCGGCGTGTGTCGTGTATACTAATCCAGAATATCGCTTTCATGTTTTGTCTGTAAGTTACATGTACACCGGCATCGATGGCAAAGAACTGTATCTGTACAACAAGATATAAACACAACTCTTACTGATATTCTCTTCATGTCCAACTGCCGCAAGCTTGACAGATTTCTGAGAACACTCTGCTTGTAGTTAGAGTGAGTTGCAAAGGGATTTCCATCCAGGGATAACTCATTCAAAGACGTGGAGTTTGCCAAACACTGAATGTCATCAAAGCTGAATAATAATAATAATAATAATAATAATAATTATTATTATTATTATTATTATTATTATAATAATAAACGGTTGTAACAATTAAAATACATATAAAAATACATAAAATTAAAGTATAAATCAATTAACCTAAGGAGCAGATACACAGTAAGTGTAAACTTCCCTCAACAAAAAACAAATGTCCGTGAAGGAAACCTTTACTCTTCTTTTTATGGGGACAATTTGTCTTAGGAAAACTCATTCTAGCTATGCATTAAAAAGGCCACTGGAACAACAAGAAATTTTAAACTGAGTAAAAAAAACTGAGTCATGCTATAACAACTGAGTGTTTTTTTTTTATTGTTACACTGTTTGATCCAAAAGCAGCCACCTCCTAAAATGCTCATATTTTGCCCAGTGATCATGTGATGCAAGTGTTCATACCTTGTGATGCAATTAAAACTGAGAAATAATCTCTGAAGATTTGGCAGCAAATCTACGTCTTCCTAGAAATCAGTGAAACAAAGTGATGAATTTTCACTCGGTGTTTAAAAAAGCAGAAGAAAAACCTGTTTTTCCTTTGTATCATATTTATCAAAGATCAAACGGAGCCATGCATCAAGGCCAAGATATGTGTTCTTTAAAATCATGGGAGAAAAAAAACACTATAAAAACATTGGAATTTAATTTACAGTGAAACCTTCATTAACAGACCATACAAAAAATTGTGGGTGTAAATATGCTCACCACAGTGCAGATTTTGTTCCTCCTCAAGTTAAGTTCAGCCAGAGCTCTCATTCCACTAACACTACTCACATGAACAATTTCATTTCCAGCCAAGTTAAGAACCCGCAGTTCAGTCAGATGACTAAGATTCTCAATCTTTACTATCTGCAAGTTCATGAAAAATAAATTTAACATAAAAAATTGATGAAGTTCTTGTTCTGTAAGCATATAAATTGAGTAGAGCAATAGTTAAGACTTCAAATGTGTGTACAGCCTGGAGTCACTAATTAACTTTGACCTTCAAACTGGCTTAGCAGTAGCCCTTTAATAGTAATTCACAGATTTACAACAAACAAGTGGGGTTTTAGGATTACAAATAGCTCTTTGATGGCATAAAAGTTGTGAAAAGTAATTTTCAGATTTCAAGGTGTACTTTATAACCTACAGTATACAATCCTCCAGACTGTGTTATATTCTTGAATTTGGTTCCACAACTATACACTGCCAGACTTGTATGGAGACTTAACTTCACTAATTTCAAAAACTCCCTTTTGGTTTTCCAGCATTTGTGTTTTTTTGTTGTCATTTTTGCTATGTGCTTTTTTGTATGTTTTATTGATTCCACAGTTTTCAACCAATATTGCAATACTTTAGGTGCAGTACAACTGTAAATGAATTATCAATCTTAATTTCTAATCATAAATACTAATGGAAGAAAAAACTTCAAAAGAATTCTGTTATAATCAATGTGGTTCAATGACTCCACTTTAAGTTCCATGGTAAAAGTCTCCACAGTTGCCATTACATACATGCATTACTAGCATTACACCTACTTTGTTGCCATGCAGATCCAAAACATCAAGCTTTGTGAGAGAATCCAAATTACTGATATTCCTTATCCTGTTGTTTAAAATAATTGAAAAGTCAAGGGTCGCTGGAAATATGTAATTTGCTATTAACTTGTCATGATTGTCAAGCTAAGTTAGAAAATCTTTATCACAAGCTTTTACTGGAAATACTACCACCTGATTTACTATTATTGGAAAAGTGGTTGGAAATATATAATTATCAGCCATTCAAAAGGTACCTTTTAAATGTACATATACCAGATTTCATGACCTGTGTGCCAGACTTTTTTTTATGTAGTCACTAAAGGGTGCAACTTTCAAGTAGTTTCCCTTTGCAATATCATCACGACTGTACATGTTCCTATATTTACCAACCTGTTTTTGCCCAGCATGAGTACCCTGAGTGATCGTAGAGCAGAGAGACCTGAAATTTCTTCGATCTGATTATCATAGAAATCCAAGAAGATCAGTCTCTTAAGGTTTTCTAGATGAGAGACTCTACTAATTAGATTGTGTTGAAAGTTAAGAAGTCTCAGGTAGTCTTCACCTTCCAGAATTGGGCAAGTAGTCAACCTCCTCCTAGCAGGAAAATTGTGAAAAATACATATATATTTTTAATCCAGGAAATACTATTTTGAGGTTTAAATAAAATTATATATTGTAGACTATCTTGCAAATACTGCATTCCCTATTAGACATTCCAACACACAGTTCGCAGTTATTCTTGCTGACTTAAAAAAGTTTTCTGTAGTAATAAGGGGTTTCCAAAGGCTAATAGCTTGTGTGAATCAAGAAGTGTGAGTGCCCAGGGAAGTTGATTTATCACAATCTAATGATCACATACTAAACTGTACCTGTCAAGGTTGAGCCTGTCAGGATTTGCCTGCCTTTCCTCAGGAAGGCGGTAAACAATAGGTACACCAGGAAATGAAGGTGACTCAGCAAATATAACCCTGTCCCCTAAATGGAAAAGAATCTGGTATAATAAATGTTACAATGCGGATACAATTTTTACATTCCTTATACTTTCAAAATTTTAAATAAACACTCCAAAAAAATAAATAGGCCTTCATCCTTTTTTAATTCAGCAAGCTTGATCAGTATTACAGAGAAAGTAAAATGTGTTCCCATACTTTGCTTTGACATTGAGTCTTAAATCCTCCTTTTCTTAATTTGATGGTGAATAACCTCTTGTCTAGTACAAAATCACATTCTCATTAGGAAAAGCTCTCAAGAGTGATGGTCACTGTAGTACACCGTGGTCAAGTTAAAACCATTTATTCACAACTGTTACACACTTAATCTTAACCAAAAAGAACCCTCAGAATAAGTTAAATATATGCTTTATATATAAATGCAAATTCTTAGGTCCCAAGTGTATTACATCAATTGCATTCATTTCCACACATTCATTTCCATCCCTGTAGCTAAAAAGTTTCTGGTGATAATGTAAGACACCTATCTAGTGCACTTTAATTAGACAGACATTTTAATAAATATATACTTTGTTTGCATATTTACAATTCTCACCTGGTAAAAACACTTGTGTTTTATTTCTGGATTGAGACTGTGATCCTGCACTTAATGTTTGTCGTCCTTGTAGACTATCATCATGTGTACCTTCCTGGGTCACTTTACTTTGACTTATGGCCATTGCTCCTGTTGTGGCAGTTGAATGGTCTGCAACATAAGCTGGTGCTGGCTGCAACACCTGACGCTGTACTTTATGAAGTTCTCTGAAAGATGTTGTGGCGTAATGCTGTTTTGTGTCTTGCACTGGATCAACACTTGAATGGGAATACTCTGGAAAAAAAAAGTTTATTTATGAATAAGTATAAAAGGAAACACCATCCAAATGGAGTTGGGCCATGTGACTAATACAATTGGTTTTCAGAGCACAAATAATCTGCATGTAAGGACCAGTATTGCTATACAATCTTGCTAAATTATACCAATCAAGTATTGAGTCTCCCTTTTAGTATAATTGCTGTACCCTAGGAACTGCAGAAGAATATTGCAAACATTATGGGCATACATAGCCATTATAAATACCTATATATAATAATAGCATATGCTGTTAGTTTTGGGTTGCCTGTGCTTATGCACATGTAACTGCATTCTTTAAGTCAATGTATTCAGCCACCATGTTCTGTTGGATTTTATCTGGGTAAGAGATTGGATGATCTAGGTCATGAATTTGACAGGGAAACATCATCTTCTTGTCAAATCACTACTGTAGTTGGTTGACAGTATCCATTTATGATCATGCCTGGAGGAAGGCCCTCTAACCCTGCCAGAGCTCCAACCAAACCAACCCAATTTGGAGACTTCTCTTGATATGTCTTTCAAACAACAGTAAATAAATATGCCATTTGACATGCTGTTATTATGTATATTGTTTCTCATAGTTAATGCACAATTTGATGAGGAAATTTGAATTACTTACGTAAAATAGATGAAGGACGTTCCATATCTTGGGGAGGTGACATGGTGTGCCGATACTTTGTTCCATTGTCAATCCTTGTATTTGATGCTGGTCTTGTTAAAGATCCAGACTCACGACTGTGAGGGTTTTGCTTCCACTCTGGGATTGCCTATGATTTTCAGGCATTGTGAAACGACCATCACATGTGGTAATCTTATTTTCATTTGTAATCAACTTATCACCGTACCACAATTAACATGATGCAGTGATAAATGAAGAAAAACAGGCTATGAAAAATCTGAACGATGAAATTTTTTGTTCACTTGATAAAATGACAGGCACTTTTTTTTCTTACCAGGTCAATGACGAGATACTTTAGCGATCTTTAGGTGAAATAAAATAATCGTACAATTTGGATCTTTTGAGGATATTTTAACGCAGTGTCTATAATTTTTTTTAATGATAAGAGATATTTCCATATTGGCACAAATTTACCTTAACAATAAAATAACAAGATGCGTGAAGTAAAGCTTCCTAATGTGTGAGATATCTCTACTCACCTGCTTGCCAGGAGGTCTTTCAATAACTGGAGTTGCTTGAGCTTGCAAACTGTATTGCAAGCCGAAATTTGCACCCTGTTATGAATAGCGGAACAAGAAATATTGTAGTTAACATATAGAACTCAGGATTACGGAATATTTCCTTAATCATCGCTCAGCATACCATGTCTGCGATTGATATAAACTAAACTTACATCCCTAGCAACCACTCGTCCTGTCTTGGCGGCTCTACTTGGATGATGGTACATCTCCTCTAACGAAAGCAAACCAGATTTCCAGTACCGAAAAATGAGTTTGGTCAAACATTTTTTCTAGCCATTAGAATATTTATCTGATCCGAGCAACAATTCTAAGCTTTCAGGCTTGAAACCCTCAATAGCCTCGCAACTGTCGTTACCTCCGCCATATTGGATTTTTGGTAACTATTTAATGTAACTATCATAAGGTGGTTTGATCTGGTAAAAGGAAGACCCCACGTGACCTCAAACGGGATTAGGCCTAAAATCCCCAATCTAGCTAAGTGTGGCAAAGGGTTCGACTTACATACATTCCGCGATTATTTCTCTGATGTGCAAGTAAGAATCCATTCTGTTCTGTGTTTCATTTTATCTACCGATTTTTTTTCATTCAACTTCACATCAGACTTCATCGACAGATCAGAAATCGCAAACCAGATCCCAGGCAGACTGAAGAGACATCTACGTAGCGGAGTGGATACATAGAGGATATTACACGATAGCGAGAAGTATCACGGATGAGCGCAGCGATCGAGTGAGATAATGTTGTTGCCACGAGAACATAAATTTTATATCTTTGAGCTAACGTGTAATTTTATTTTTACTATATGAACAATAAATATACATGGTAGACATTGAAAAGGTGGCTCTAATATAATTACTGGGTACTAACACTAAGAGAAGGTAAGTTTTTATTAAGGGGGGTGGGTGTTTTAGAAATTTTTGCGAAAAAAGTCGTGGCCTTCCCACTTTCCAGTATGGATTAATGCATGACCCTTCACAAATACATACACAAAAACATCGGACCCTCCCCCCACCCTCTCCAAGACAAACTAGACCCTGTGAGCAGGGTAACTGGGATACCTGGATGGTACTGGATCCTTGGAATCAAGTGTAGTGATACTACGGGTGTCGGACTGGTATACTGAAATAGTGCGCTCAAGTCTGGCCAAGGGCATACACCTATTTCAAAACATAGGCATGCTATGCATGCAAGAGTTACTTTTTTGGTAGGGCGGGTGGATTACTTGAAACATTGTGAGTGATGTCTACATTCTTACAAAAGGAGAGAAGAATATTAATGTGGGAAAGAACGAAAATGTCGAATTACCTCACACACAGGTATTTTGTGGTAGATTATGTGTGTTTTGCAAATAAATGCAACCAAAAATAAACTGTATTGGTGCCACGGATACCTGTTAGTACAAAATGCAGACAGCAGACTGCAGACCGGATACAAAATATAGACTGCAGAGTGGGTACAAAATGCAGACTAAGAATCTGAAGAGTTTTTACGTCTGGTATAGAATAACATGTCATCTTACAGCTTACCGAGCGTCACGCAATCGCTTTTCCGCGATCAGCCTTCACGATTATTTGCACTATTGTGGAAAATTCCTGGCCCATTTCTTGATGAAAATCGATCGTAATATAATTTCAAGCCTTCAGTATAGTCTTCTTACTTTGCGCGCGAGTTGGTTGGTGTGATGTCTGTACAGATTTTACCAACGTAATAAAAGTAGATGACGTGAATAACAGTGATGGTAAAGCAAGCTTAAAACGACAGAAATCGCCAGGAACTACAACGGATACACAGGGTATGAATAAGTTTTATTGATTTTACGAGAAAAATGTTCATATTTCGAAATATTTATCGTTGTAAATCGGCCATATTTCGTTCCCTTTACTATTCCTCATAACGTGTTCAAATTTTCAACGGTTCCTCTCGTAACTTAACACCGAGTCACACAACGCGTGACGCATTCATGCATTAATCGTTGGCTTTTTCTCGAGGCGCGAGCTTGGGCCGCCTGTGACAAGACAATTGCGTAAACAATACTCGGCGTAATAACATTATACACAAAAAACACAGGATTTTGGATCATGTATTTGTTAAAAAAGAATATCCATACAACTACAGTGAAAACAAACATAAGATTCACCCTTCTGAACGTGGAATTAATACCATTCGCACTGTTATCGTTGCTACGTTCCCTAGCATCAAGTGAATCCAACATGGCGTCTTTCTTCGCAAGCAGTTTGCATCCATTAGAGTTTTGTTCTTCAGTCTCACGGTAGTAGTGTTGTTCAATATATTGCATAGAGTATATGCAGTTTGGTTTCAGATTTTAGATTTTGCTTTTTACAACAAGTGTTCGTTTTTCAACTAAGACATTGGCATACTTAGCATACAAAGCATACAAGGCATTCAAGGCTTTCATGGCTTTCAAGCGTTCGCGACTCAATCCGTTCCAAAATTCCGCTCAATAACATCTTTTAGTGTGGATTGGCCGCGAACAATACGACTTGTGTATGCGTCTGTAAATATTTTGAGCGTTTGCGCCATAATGCTCCAGGTGATCGTAATCCGAACACGTTGAAGTACAAAACGACTGACAAAAGAGTTTTATATGCAAGAATCTCGTGGTTCGTCATGTGACCCGGCCCTGTCCGTGCATGACAACGTCAATCATCATCAAGATAACACGCGTGATCAGCATGTGGACACCTCATTGGATCACAGTTAGTTGTCATGGTGTTGAGGGCCCAATGACCTCTGGGTACTATTGCGCAATTTTTCCATTTTGTGGCGGAGGAAAAAAAAAAGACGACAAAAAAACAAGGGCATTTTATGACTGGGCTACCACAGGTATCCCAGTAATAACCGGAAGTGAAAATAACTAACCGGAGGTGTTACTCACATAGCCGCGTCTGCGCACAAAGCAGTTAACTGCGTGGCGTGTGATTGCACGGTGAAAACTTGAAAATAGGAAAGGATGTACAAGGAATAGAAAGAGGGAAATGCGCTTGTGGCGAATGCGAGGATTTCATGAGGTCAGATGGAGCAAATTGTAGCAATTATGGCTGTTTGCCGACTCACCATTCTAAATAGGATGCCCACTACTCCTCTGACTCTGTTGGTGGTACATCGGGTGCGGGAACAAGTGAAAGTGCAAGTCCAGAGAAGTGGAAAAATGAAGACCTGGGGTGGTTCCCGAAGCCAAAGAGCGAATATACTGAATTCTCAAATAGTATTCTTCCAAAATTCTACCTGTACTTATGGACCACTTGTCCCTACAAGGAACGCTTTCGCCGCTGTTTCTGACTGAAAGAAAGCGCCAGTGGGAAGTTCGAGAGGCTTTGGAAACAATGAATCACAAGTTGACTTTTGTGACTTCTGATAATCCAACGGCTGCCGGGAGATTTATGGAGGAAAATTTTTGCGCAAAATGCCATGACGCTATCACGATTAAGAACAACATTAATGACCTTTCAAAGCTGAAGGTCAAAAATCGATGAGCTGAATGCGAAAGTAAGTGAAGATGATAATACGCTGTTCGATTCAAAAGGGACGGCATATTAAATCTGGCCACAAATCTAGTCACGATGCGGATGAAGAATTTCTGGTTAAGCGATTGTTTGAGGAAAGTGAACTAGTCAGAGGGGACAGTCAGGCTATTATAAAGTTTTCAGATAAATACATTGTCCCCGAAAAGCTTGTGGCAGAGTATGTTGAGCACCTTGTTCATATAAAAATGCGCAAGGAGAAGAAGAAAGAGGAAACCGAAAGGGAGCGAATGGAACGGCTGGACCGGGAGTACAATAACATTGACTGGGTTGGACTGTACAACTCCGATAAGCTGTCGTCCTTGAGGGTGGACGATCTATCCTTGTACTTTTCCCATCAGAAGATCACCTTCAAAGGGAAGAAATCTGAAAAGGTCGCAATGATCAAATCACACATTGGCAGCTTGCTGTACGATTCAATGGAGTGTCAACAACCTCGGCAGCCCCCGCTAAGAAATGTGCAGCAACAAGTGACCTCATCACTTTCCGAGGTTGAAACTGACTTGCAAAGTGATGTAGTAGATCGAGTTGTCGGTTCAAGCCCGAGTAGCTTAAGTGACGAATCGTGACCGGAGACTGATTTTATCTACCAGAACCCCGCGCGAAAACATTACCGCCGTCAAAATATGGACGAAAGCGGGCACGGGTCGGGGTTATGGGTCATGGGGTCGGGGTCACGGGTCATGTTAGTTGGGAGAAGATAGTTTTTTGATTTAATATTTCGACACCTGTTAATAATTTAGATTAATCTTGACTGGTAGCTTTGCTTGTATATACAAGTTTTAGGTTTCTATACACTTTGCGTGTTTGTTAACAAATAAAAGTCAACTAAGCGACATGGAGTAATTTTTTCCTTGCCAAAAAAACTGTTGCCCTCCCCCACTTTCGAATAAAACAGGTTTGACCCTCCCCAATTTGTAAAAAAATTTACTATTTATCCTCCCCTCTGAAGCCCCGTATTAACAGATCAACTCCAATATGGCCAACATACAATATTAGTGGGCGAGCGAAACAAGTTGGGGTAATTTAAAGGTTTGTTACGCTATCAAATGCTAAGGAAACTAGCTGCAGAATACACCATGTTAAGCGAAAACCATCAAAGACTTTCGAATTGTCTTTTTTTGGCTTTATTTAATTACTCGATTCTCCAATACACAATTCTACTTTCATTCAATTTTACTTCATTCTGTGTAACTCTGGTTAATCTCTCAGCTTCTCGCTGGATACTTCTCAATGACTTCTGCTGCCAAACACTCACTTCAACTACAGAATTCTGTCTGTACTTGTGCACGCTGTCTAAATTCTTTTCTACTCTCTACTCTCCACTAAGTAAGCTCTAAAGAACATGTTTATATATTCACTATTGATAGATACGGGGGAGCATGCCAGCTGGCTGACCTTGAGAGATTAAAAATTTGTTGTTAGAACACTAAACCAAACAATTTCACGAGGCTTTCGAAATGAACAACAAACACTTAATCATAATACTTCCGATCAACTGAATTAACCTTCCATAGTCGTTTTCGTTCAAGATCAAAATTCCTTATTCTACGAAGCTCGACATAACCACCGCATGAAAAAAGATCTGTTAAGATCACATCCAATTATCAACTTTCATGAGTATTGTCATCACTATTATTGTCATTTAAATTTTTTTTCTCATCATCTTCAGAAGTGGCCTTGGCAATTTTGAAATCAAGAATCTCTGATGCCACAAGAGCTAGGCGGGGATCCCCGATTTCCTTCTTCTCCCCACCAAGGTATAAAAGCTTTCGCGAACCAAGCGGCAAAATCCCTGTCAACCAGATTAACACATATATCCAATAAGCATTCACTTTTAACATTAAACATGCATCTGAACCATGAGAATATAAGCAGTTTATATTCTCTTGTTTAAAACATATAAGGGATGTAATAAAAAAAAAAACATCAACACGGGTCACACTTTCCTAATTTAACTTCAAGGATTTTAATTTTTTTTCTCAATTTTTTAAACTTTTCATTTATTATTTTCATTTTCACGCCAACTTCGTGTGAGGAATTTTCTAAACGTAATTCAACTTTGCTGAAAAATGTTAGGCTTCACTCATTAACTCCAACCGCACAAACGTTCAACTCTTCAACTATTGATGAGGTTGGTGCTCACGTTCCTTTAAGTGACTCAGTTAGAACTGACAGGGGATTGACAGTCGTTCATCAGCTCTCACCTTTTCCTAATGTAAACTCACGTAATGCCTTGCTTGTGCAAAGAGATGATGAGCACATGATCTTACGATCGAGAAAGCATAGTAAAAATCTCTTTTCATGATATGTTTCCACTGCCGTTCGTAGGATTCCTGGCCAATTTAAACTACTAAAATTAGAAGTGTTTGGGAACTGCTAAAATTAGAAGTTCTTGAAAACTACTAAAATTAGGAATGTTTCACTGAATGTTTGGGAATTGTTTAAGGCTGTCAGATTATCTTGAAATCCTTATGAGAGTCTTTTGAGCCTTAGTTTGTTACGTGCTGCAAGACCACACATTATTTCTACCTCTTGAGGGATGTGTCCTTGACCGTTGTAGTAGGACTTAACTCTTGTACGATGATCGTCATGGTAAGTGATGATTTGGTTTGTCCTTTACCTTGCTTAGAGTCCTCAACGGGAATTTTTATTTAGGTTTAGTTCTCGAAGATTGGTTGTTTTCCAAGTACTTTTTTGTTCATTTCGATGTCTTGTGAGATTGTCTTGGTTAGTGTTCTAAAAATATATGTTCTCTGCCATGGTCAGATTTACCGTAAGCTTAAACATACCTACTGATAGGGTTTTTAAGAGCGTGTACTTAGGGCTGAATTTTTTAGAGAAGAAAGAGACAGTGCCTCAAAGAGTGAAATGAACTGTTCCTGATCAGACTCCTGGTGCCTCACGTTTGTTCGTGGTGTTTGAGCTAGTATACCCCAGCTGTCCAATATAGCCATTGGTTCCATCCAAGTCTCGTGACTTACATGCTGAGCAAATTGCTCAAAATAAATATAACATACTAATAAGTCAACTACCTGTGCCCGTTCCGAGCCTCTCAGTTATCGATGTCTGGATTCATGTTAATTTAGTTTAATATTCACAAAAAGAGTGAACAGTTCATTTCCAGAGAAGGGTCTACCGACGGTAACGCCTGCTTCCATAAATTAAGTGGAAAGTAAGTATTGAAGTCCCTCTGCCGGAATAAGATTCTACAGGTTGTGAAACAACAGCCACAGTAAAAGTATTATTTTTTGTAAAAAAATTGGTTTGGCATGGCTTCGGCACGAATAGCAAAAAGATCCTGATCATGGTACTAAATCAGTAATTCTAGGAACTCCAGGGAGAAACAGCGAAAGCCTAGTATTAGCCACTAGTATTAGGTTGACTGCAACATAATTATTCGACTTTTTTGTCGACTTTACTGTTTTAACTGAGCTGTAAGATTCAGCGTAAGCGGTAACGTGTTTCTCTTCTGCTTGTAAGAATTGTGAAACAGGAAAGGTTGACTGAATAACCTCCTATATGTGCCTTACTTGTCTGCTCTTTGAAGTCAAGCTTCAAGTTTGGCCTTGGCACTCTGACTGAAAACTGCTACAACAAATCAGTTTTCTGTTTCACTCACTACTCGACCAGACGAAGAAAATTATGGGGCTGTTCTTAATATCTTGGTCTAACAGACTAGTAGTGTTGGGAAATCTCACTACATTTAGAAAGCACGGTTTCCGTAATGGCCGCGGCGCGCAAGACTGGTAATTACTTAAACATGAAACCGAGGTCAGAAAGGCCACGCTTGAGGACAACACTGTTAACAAAGGTTGAATAGTATGGGGTGTAATTACCGTTAATTAATTACGGTTAAAATAATGCAACTGGTTAACATGGTCCAACCAGCCAAAACAAGATAAAATGGTTTAAACGAAGAAAAGATTTTAATTACGTGACATGGTCCAATTGGAAGAAACGATCTCACTTAGTAAAATGGTGCAACTGGTTAACATGATCCAACTTGTTAAAATGATGCCAATATCTAAAATGGACAAACTGATTTAAATGATCCAACCAGTTGAAATGGTCTAACTGGATAATGCATGTGTAACGAGTGAAATTGGTTCAAATAATTCAAGTAATCAACCTGGTAAGGATGGTAACATTAGTTAAAAAGATCCAGCATATTACAGTGGTTCAACTGGTAAAAATAATCATCCAACTACTAAAACTTATTGAACACCAATCAAAATTAATCCAACCGCTTCAAACAATCCAACTAGTCAAAATTCTTCAAGTGGTTATTTAAGTGAAAAAGGTAACAAAATCTTCTTGAAAATATTTTTGAAGAAGCTTACACCCTTACCCTAAACACTAACCCTACCCCCAAACCTTAAACCCAAACCTTCACCCTAGCCCTAACCTCAAACGCAGACCCTCTAACCCTAACACTAAGCCCAAACCCTAACCCTAACCCTAACACTAATCCCAAACCCTAGCCGCACACCATAACCCTAAAACCTAACCCTAAACCCTAAACCCTAACCTATAGCCCTTAACCTAGACCTAACCCTAACCCTAACCCTAACCCTAACCCTAACCCCAACCTTCTCTATCTATCCTGTAAGTGTACCAGTCGGCCTATCGTTTGTTTTTCAGTAAACTTTCAAGCAGTTACTGAAATTTACAAACACAATACCAAAAAACCCTGCAATTGAATGCTTCTAGAAAAATATTAACGCCAACCCTAAGCATAGCCTCACCCTAGCCTTAACCCTAATTCTAACACTAAACCCCGCTAACCCTAAGCATAATTTTACCCTAGCCCTAACCCTGATTGTAACACTAAACCCCTCTGACCCGAAGCAACCCAAACTCTAACCCTAACCAGGTAATGGGCTCCTGCCCTAACCCTATCCTCAACCCTGACTTAAACCCTTTACCATAGCTTAGGATTGGTTTGGGGTTTGAGTTAGGTTTAGGATAGCACAGAGTTAAGAGTGAGCACAGGACGAAATAGCATGATTCCGTAATTCGGAAAAATGAAACTCTATGTTTCCACGTCATTCACTTCTTCCTTGGACCTGTTATGTTTCCGTTATGATTCCTGAACGGAAATATGACGACACGTTTCCGTTGCATTTCTGTCAACGGAATATTATCGTCGCCTGTTTCCGTTACGTTTCCTTGTACGGATTCAAACTTTTACCGTCAAGTAAAACATATATATATATAAAGTGCTGTACAGTTCTTACACCACGTTACCATGAAGACGTGATCGTTCAAGGACAACAAAGGCAAATTGACGTGCATTAGGTGTGTACGTTCGTAGGAATCATAAGAAGTCCTAGAAGCTTCGATGTTTTACACTGAGCTATGTGCTATGTACAAAATTGAATCTTTTAAACTTACTCTGTGCTTAGATTTTTAAGCAGCTGGATCATTTGAGCCAGTTTAGTCTCTCCAACCAGCAATACAATACTTGGTTTACTGGATAGTTTTAGGGTTAGGGTTAGGATTTTCAAGTAGGCACACGTAGTTGTGTGGATATTGTGGTACATGGAGTTTAGTAGAGTGTAGATTT